AGGGCACCATTGATCATCATAACAATTTAATGTTACTGAATAACCATAAATAAAATCTAATGAATTTCTTTCCACATTTTTAGGTTGCACAAATTTTTAAAAGGCACCCTTAAAATTGCCTATCAAAAAGTAAATAAATGAAATAATTAATTCATTTTCAGTATATACGTAGAGCCCCCCCCCCCCCACTCCTGACCCTGGGGCCTTGAAATTCACAATTCTGCAAGATTAGGGCCCTTGTTCATCATAACTATATAGGTAGTTCATCTGTCATATGCATATTGCCACAAATGGTCACACTCAATGCATGACCTGTCAAAGACCTGAAGACCTGTTTGGAGATTTTTTTTTGAGATCAAAGGGAGATTCTTCAACGGTAAAACCTTCAACATCCGCTGTTCATTTCTATAATGGACCTTTTAACATCTCAGTCCTTTAATTGTTTTCAAAACATAGCGCAATTCGTAAAAATAACACGGATGTTTCCCCCTAATTAACATTGATATTTATCATATTAGTCATCTAATTAACTATAGTGCAAACACTAAGACATTCAAAAAAATTAGAATCAAATCAAAAATTAATTAAGACTAAATAAACATTGTTCCTCATATCAAAATTTGAGAAAAAATATTCCAAGTTCGTAAAGGAAATAAATAGAAAAAATGATATAGGCCTATGTTATTTTTTAATTCATATCAGTTTATATATACAAATATATCTATATAAGTATTGGGCGAACCACATATAGGGCGAACAAGATATTGGGCGAGAAATATGTACCCCGGTAATTTTATTTCAATGAACACATGTTTAAAGTTTTCATTATATTATACAATACTAATTTAGTTTTTAATCATACATTAAACATCAATTTGTATGATTTGTCAGACATGAAGTTCATTAATATTTCCCTCCAAAATTTTTTTGTTTACATTTCACAATGGAGAATGATGATAGTTTGATAGTTTGATAGTCATATTTGTGTTTTAATAAATCTACTTTTTCTTGATATAGTTCTACTAATCTTTCATTTTGTTCGGGCGATTAATTGATATTGAACGAAAAATTCACATTACATGTTAGTTCTTCTTTATATAGATCAACCTCTTTGACCTTGTCAATGATTGGTTAAAACCTGCGACGAACGGACTCCCGCTGTCTTATGATTTTCCTATTTAACAGTGTAGATCAGGCAAATGAACCCGTTACCGCATATGTACATAGAGTGGGTCAGTGGGTTTAGAATCTTTTAATTATCAGTTTAAGCTCTGGTTTCTATTTGGGGAGGGGGTGCAATGTCTGTCTTCAAGATCCTGTGGAAAGGATACTTCCACTTTTTTGCAAAATAAAGCCACCTATCTAAAGTCACCTGAAAATTTGATTTGTTTAGGAGACGTTGTACAGTACTTTACCTTAAGTTGAGTTTCTCCCATTTGTGCTGGATGAGCCCGGAGTCAAGTGTAATGCCTACAAATTGACTTGATGTTGTCGAAATTATCGTGTCAAAAGTAATCAGTCATCTAATTAACTATAGTGCAAACACTAAGACATTAAAAAAAATTAGAATCAAATCAAAAATTAATTAAGACTAAATAAACATTGTTCCTCTCAAAATTTGATCCCAAGTTCATGGCATCTGACTGGATCAGTCGTACAAGCAGTGAGAAAAGTACGATATATCCACTAAATTTCTGTCTAAAATGATTGATGAAAACTTTCATTTCCCTCATTCTGCATTTTGTTTTGATTTTGAAATGTACTTCGATTCCGATTGAATTTGCCACTCAATTCGATCCCGATTATAATTAGGCACAAAGTTTTCTCTCTTCTGGTAAGAGGGATGGAGGGTGGCAGAATTCTTTGAAAAGCACAAATTACATTTGTTTACAGACATGCAGGCAATAGTAGAAGGTAGAATATTCATTTCATTACAAGTATCAAAAGAGTTCACTACTAAGAAATTAATTCTATAATAAAACCAACAATGAACCATATTTTTTCCCCTGCTTAAATTGCACAAGGCCACTGGTCTCTCAGTCTGTCTGTCACAAAATATTTAATCTTGGTCATAACTTTTGACTGAGAAGAGACAGGACCTTCACATTTCCTGTGACCTTACCAAACATGTTTTTACTTGACCCCATGACCTTGACCTTATTTTTTTTACTTACTATTCAAAAATTTTAATATACTTGGTCATAACTTTTGAATGAGAAAAAAATATGGATTTTATATTTCACATGTATATAACTTGTGAAAAAGAGACATTTTCAAATAAATTTACATTTTGCATAATGTGACCTTGAAAATGATGTTTGACCTTCTTTTTCATATAAAATGAACAGATGTGTAAATAAGACATTGACTTTTTTTCAAATGTACTATGTACTTTGACCTGTGATTTGATGTTTGGCATAATTATCAAAAATGCTTAAAATTGCATGACCATTTTTTTTTAACGAGAAGATTGGGTGGTTAAAACTTGTGCATTACCTTACATAAGGTGTTTTTTTCCAAATGTACTATCATGCAGGGATTTTCAATTTACAACTTTACTATCTTTGTGACTTTATGACCTTGACCTAGAAGTTTCACCTACTTATTTGACCTCAGTTCCTTGATCTTGAAGTAATTAACTTGCAATTTTAAAAGCAATTTTATTATAGATTCAATTTTATTTTCTATCTAGATCTTGTGTATAATGGACAGACATAAAAGGACATGTACACATGGACAAGAGAGTTACAATACCCTGTGCAATATTGCATTCCAACCACCATGGAACATACCATAATTCTTTTAAATTTGCAGTAAAGGAGTTGTAACAGTAACAGAAAGGGAGTAAAATGTGATAGACCAGAATCAAGGCCCTCGGAATATTCATCCAGTCATGTGTTCTTCCAATTAAACTATCAGACTATATGGGTGATCAAATCTGTCCGACAACATTCCTTCCTTCAGACACTAACCCACTGGCAGGGTCTTTTAGTGCATGGTATGGCACCAAATGAAAGGAAAAAGAAGGTGATGAACCAGACCAGTATTTGAACCCAGACCCACTAAATCTTGAGTCAGGTGCTCTAGTCCAACTGAGCCACTGGTGATTGATTCTGTCAGTCAACCACATTATAAACAGTAAAACTACACATATGTACCTGTTTGTGTTCATAACACTTTAACGCTTGTCTTGCATACAATTTTAATCACTTCTAGATAAACAGACTAAACGTTTCGCCAAACAATGTATGTATATTTATATATCAACACAAAACATTCCCATACCCCTCGCTTTACAAAACAGTATATATATAATAATTATATAAATAAAATATGCATATTATAGACCTCCATTTGTTTAAATAGACTAAATACTGGAATGGGATTAAGAATATTGTATTTCTAATCACACCTTCATTATTTCCTTGAGTTGTTTTTTTTTTTTTTACATAAAGTCCCTATCTATCCCAGTCTGAGACTAACATATATTGTGTAACCAAAAGAAAAAATATTAAAATGGACACATTATCAAGATAATGGTTGTAAAATTCAGATGTCTCATTCACAATTTTCAAACATTTTTTTAAAAATTAATTTAGGTTTTGATTCTAAATCAGGAGGTCTTTTGATATTGTATTCAAGGCAATACACCCATATCTGCATATGATAGCTGCTAACCGCCTTAATGGTTCTGAATAAGATATGCCTTTTCAAAATGATACTTTTCATCAATCTATCAAAAAATGAATATTATAAATGTATTTGAGGAAACATAGCAAGATTTGCATTTAATAAATAATTTATACTCGGAAATATTATTATTGGGGATTTTATCCATTGACCGAGTTTAAAATACTTTACAGGATTCTATCATCTAAATAAGTAAACTCCTTGGGATTATAATTAAATATAAGCACTGTCAACGAGATATTAGTCCTCTAAATTATAAACTGAATAGAAGCCAACTAAAGACCTACCTAAAACACTGATTAGAAAGAAATATACAGCAGTCATAAGGAAAAGGGGAAATCAATTTACAAGTACAACAGATTGTTAGAGAACTTAAACTGTGCTAAACTAAATTGGAATTCACTGGAAAACATTGTAAATTAATATCAAAATATATTTGCTGCTAAAAATAAGAAAAAATTTACAAAACAAGCATAATCAATAATGAAAACAAACAAAAAACATAAATCTAAAAACTGGCAGGTTATACAGTGTAGGTACACAGCCATTCACCAACCCCAAACTTAATACACTCAGGTATTTAATATTCAGTTTTTACTATAAAACTGACACGACATTCTACAATTGTATCTACCATTAAACTTAACCCTGGCAGATATACAATTTAAACAATTGGAAATATACACACTCTGTATAATTAAGATCTTTGTATTATGCAATCATCACATGTACTGGTACAACACATTGAAAGCTAGGTAGTATGAGCTCAAAATAAATTACAGGAATACACATTTAGTCTGTATGTATAGTCAGTATGTATAACTTAACTAAATAGTATCTGTTTTATTTCAGTTGATACCTCGATCCTATATTTGAAAAACAGATCAACGTACATGTACTTGTTTATAAAAAGAAAAAAAATACAGAAACTTTGCATGCATAATGAACATTTCTTTTCAGACGGTATAAAATCTTAAAAACAGTTTTTATCCAGCAGTGTATAGGTATAGATCATCCAGTGTCCTTCCTGCAAGAGACCATTGACAGGAACCCTATGTACATGTACATCTATTTAGTAACAGAAGTTGAAATCATTTTCAGATGAGGCTGAGAATTTTAGCAGTTGCTCAAAAAACATTATTAAAAGCTGATTTCAAGAATTAGTGAACATCTAAGCAAAAGAGTATATTGTAAACCATAAAATGAGAACAACTTTAAAGACTGCATCAAATGGTTAAATACTGCATGTACCAGGATCATTTTTTGTCTGCATAACTTAAATTGGTAAATCAATAAAACATATATCGCTAAGTAACAAATATTGGTGAGGACAGAAAAAACATATGTCCAAAATACATGTACATGTAATTTTTTTCATTTTAAAATGGATAAAAACTCCAAATATACATTGTCAAGTAAAGATATTTTCATAAAGATAATTTGACTTCAGAAACTTACAGTAACTCAAAGTTGACACTACTTTACCATATTATCAGGCGAGCAATATATGTTCAACAGTGTTCTGAAATAAATGTAATATAATGTCTATTAACATTTGCATATTGACTACTTTTTTTTGCTTCACTGCATGTACATACATGTATCTGGTATTTTTTTTAAAATGCTTTAAAAAGTCTATATAAAAGTTATGTTCTATTTTTTTCCTTTTCATCATACATACATAATGTATATATGGGTTCTTAGCTTTCCCAATATGACAATAGCTGCTTGGTTGTTTACAAACTATCTGCAGGAGTAAAAATTCTGGTCTCGCAATTACATTACTGAATTACATATAATTCAGATTTATACCGGTACATACAATGTATTTAGTCTGGAATCTTATAGGCACTTTTTGTTAGGTCTGAGAGATTTTACTATAAATAAAAGCAGGTGGGCAAACAGAAGTTTTTTTGGAAGACCTATTGAATGAAATCATAGCGAGCAGATTTCACATTGAGTTGGGCCCAGTTTTCTATCTGACTACTGTATTGGACACAATATAGGACAACCAATGTTCTGTTGGATTAAATACTGTAAAAAAGTGAAAAATATCATCTACAATTCAACAATAAAAAATTCTTAATAAAAAAAAAATTAATAATATATTAATCATCAGCTAATTTATCATCAAAATATGAATTGTCAAATACTAACTACATTTGTAATCTCCATCTAGAATTCTATACAAAATGCTGTAAACTGTTAGCGAGCGACCTAATTCTGAGAATCGTTCTATTAATAGTAATACTACACTGGGCCTGTCCCTCTCTCTGACATCAGTCCATCGCTTAGAATCCCTGCCAATCACTGTGTGCGTCTGAATCCTCGTCAGTATCTACCTTGTAACACTTGATTCCATTCTTCAATGCTGGAGTCCCTTTTCCTTTACCTTTAACGAAAAAACCATAAGCATTAATAATTAACTGGCACTCATACATTGTAATGAGGACATAACAAATAATACAAAATATATTTATCATCGCGTGTTTAATTCCTTACAATCTGGCTTGTTACAATTTTTAATTTCTTCTGTTGGTCTTTGCTGTCTATTGCCTGTATTTATCATTTTTGACTTTAAATCACCTAGAACTCTTTAGTTTGTATAGCAAACTTTATTCTCTTCTTTCGGTCTTTGTGGTATATATCTATCATTATGTGTTATATTACCTAGAACTCTGGCATGTATAACAATCTTGAGTCTTGTCTGTTGGTCTTTGCTGTATATATTTATCATTTTGTTTTATATTACCTAGAACTCTGGCATGTATAACAATCTTGAGTCTTGTCTGTTGGTCTTTGCTGTATATATTTATCATTTCTGTCAGCAGTTTCTCACGATGAGCATTAAAATGCAGCACCAGCTCATGTCCCTTACCTACAAGTGTATTATGTGAAAAATAAACAAGAGATGTACTTGAAACATTTATCCACCCTTTACATCTTCTTCAAAGAGGAGCATAAAATCATACAATTTTCTAAAAATGATCATTGACCAAAAATGCAGAGCAACAAATTCGTAAATGATAAAAATACATGTACATTATGTAATTCTCATTCCCTAATAAAAGGGAGACAATATGAAAACTACTGATAAGCCACATAAGATATTCAACATATAAGCATATGTAGTACATGTTTATCCTTATAATCAAAACTTTGTGGAAAAAAAAAACAAAACTGCCCCTACCATCTTCTGTAGGAGTGACTTTCTGGATTTCGACATGGAGGTTTTCCCTTTTATCATAATCAACCTCCTCTCCCAGACTATCACTGACACAGAAACAGACCACGTAGTGATGGTGGACCTGTAGAAATCCCAGGTGGACGTCCGCCTTACCCTCACTCTGCTTCACGTGAATCTCCAGATTATGGTCCTTCAGCTGTTCTGCCTCAAAATGGACATGGTCTTTCCCATGGTCTTTGCAGTTGGAAGCTGGAAATCAGATTTAATACAGTGTTAAATAAAATATGTATATCATGTATATTATATACAGTCAAAGCTTGTTCATAGACCAAGATTAAACTTTGAGATACCTGAGGATTCAAGATGTTAAGGTTAAAAATCATATTAGAGAAACAATGGTTGTGACTTCCAAATCACTTCAAAACATCCCTGATTATCTCTGGTATTATACTGATAAGACATTACTGTTCAAAATGACAAAATTCAACTGTACATGTAAACATTATCAAAAAGTATAGCAATTCTAACAACATACAACATGTGTATCACAAATGACATGTGAACATTAATTGTTCCTATATATGGAAGTCCCCATCTTTAGAGTACCTGGTAGTAAATATACCAGTAATTAAATCAAAAGTGAATTCATGTGAATTATGTGACATTTAGATAGTGTTTTACTCAAGAACTATTTGTGTATATTCTTTTTTTTTGCATGTTATGCAAGCATGGACTAAAATATGCAATTTTCAAGACCAGAAAAAAATATCCAGCATGTCTGAAATGTATCTCAAACAAGTGTGCTTGCAATTAAGTAGGTCAAGGTGAAAAGATAAAATGCATATTGTAACTTTTGCCAAGGTATGGTTATTTTGCACAAGATATATTTTGAATTATAAAAACAAATTCAGAATTGTTTCATGTCTTTTTTCACTAAAAGCAGCAACTTCATTTAAGTGTGACTACGGATTTTGCTAGGGTTTACAAAAACTTACTGTAAAATCACATATTTTCAAGGGGTCATAAATTTATGGGTTTCTCAATACCTTGGAAACATCTATATTTAACCCCCACAATAATCAGTGATTTCATAGTAGTTGAACTACATATTTCTTGTGCAAATAATAGACACCAGAACACAATACAAACAGAACAATCACATGACATAGGAACACAATCCAAACAGAACAATCAAATGACACCAGAGCACAATCCATACAGAACAATCACATGACAACAGGACACAATCTAAACAGAACAATCACATGACATCAGAGCACAATACAAACAAAACAATCACATGACAACAGGACACAATCCATACAGAACAATCACATGACAACAGAACACAAGCCAAACAGAACAATCACATAACAACAGAACACAATCCATACAGAACAATCACATGACAACAGAACACAATCCATACAGAACAATCACATGACACCAGAACACAATACAAACAGAATAATCAAATGACATCAGAACACAATCCATACAGAACAATCACATGACACCAGAACACAATCCAAACAGAACAATCACATGACACCAGAACACAATACAAACAGAACAATCACATGACACCAGAACACAATCCAAACAGAATAATCACATGACACCAGAACACAATCCATATAGAATTATCACATGACAACAGGACACAATCTAAACAGAACAATCACATGACCACAGAACACAATACAAACAGAACAATCACATGACAACAGGACACAATCCATACAGAACAATCACATGACAACAGAACACAATCCAAACAGAACAATCACATGACAACAGGACACAATCCATACAGAACAATCACATGACAACTGAACACAATCCAAACAGAACAATCACATGACAACAGGACACAATCCATACAGAACAATCATATGACAAGAGGACACAATCCATACAGAACAATCACATGACAACAGAACACAACCCAAACAGAACAATCACATGACAGCAGAACACAACCCAAACAGAACAATCACATGACAACAGAACACAATCCAAACAGAACAATCACATGACAACAGAACACAATCTAATCAGAACAATCATATGACAAAAGATCAATCACATGACAACAGAACACAATCCAAACAAGAATACAACACTACAAATTGATAATAATGAGTATGAAAGAATGATCAATAAATGAAATGAAATAATGAATTTTTTTCTTAAGTTGTTTACCATTTACATGATCTAATTTGTACTAATAAAATTATGACTATGAACAAATTTTGAAAAAAAAAAAAATAAATAAATGTACAGACAGAACGATGTGCATCCAAATCTCTGATTATACAGTTATAGGGGCATAACAAGGGTTTGTCACCCTGTGACATTTATTTGCTTAGATTTTCATTTTTTTAACGTTTAAATAAAAGAAGGAGCCAACAAAATACTATAAATTCTGCATATCTCATACACTACTTCAACTAAAGAGGCTACATGCATGAAATGATGTATCCTACGATAGTAATGGGAAAAGATAATTAACTTCACTTACCAGGTTTCTCCTGAATTGTTTCCATTATTAAGATTTAATGTATAGAGAGAAGCCTGTATTCCTTTGATTCTCTTTCTTGGTGGCTTCGTTGTAACTGGTGGGCTCTTGGTTTCACAATAACTTTGAAACAATTTACTCTCTAATCAGTAATGGTGAAACGCAGAAAGCTTTACATATCTCTGAAAATAGAACAACCTCATTTTGAAAAAGAAATCAACTCCATTTCTTTGAAAATATATAATTGCACGAAGGTCAATAACTATAGACTTCGTTTTTCTCTGTTTTACATTTACCAATGAATAATTAATCTGTTTAAAAGTCCTGAGGAAATTCAAGTTTCTGAGAAATTAATTTTGAACTTCGATTCCGAGTTAAGAAAATGTATAAACATCATAAAATTATGCCTTTTAATCTTTTCTTTACGTTATTATAAAAATGTTAGAATATGAAAAATAATCGTTTTCAAAGTGGAGTGATTTGTTGATATAAGCCACGGGGATATACATTTGATTTCCATACGTTTCGAAGAAAAAGATTAAATTCATCGGGATCGAAATTCTCAATTACACTTTCGAGCTTCTTTGGAGTTTTCATTCCAGAATCAATGAGTTAGAGATTTTCCGAGTAAAATTATTAGCATATCGATCAAGATGGCGACGGCGTCAGAAAATGATTGCCTTAATGATCCAAACTTTGCAGTAATATGCAATTTTTTGGACCGCTTTGGTGAAATAATAGGTCTTGGTGATATATCTTACACAGATCTCCAAACATGGCTGGAAGACACGAAGCATGGTCCGTTGGAAATTAATTTTTTTGTATTGTTTACATCATGAACAACAAAATATCTTTGTTTATCTTTTGTAATTACTGCACTGCCTATCAATTCAAATCATTATTGCATTAACGAATTTGACTCTTTCGTTTTCGTAGTTTGCTGTTCAAATGTAACACTTTTACCAGTTACGCTTTTCTTCAAGCATTTGAGAGAAATCATGAAAACAAAGAGCATATAATGAATAAATATTGAACTTAATCAGAACTTTATGCATATATACCATTCGTTTTGAACACATAAACTTTATATTTCTTGATTGAACAAATACATTTTTATTTAGAACAAAATTATGATTATCCATAATTCAATATTTAAACTGAATTTGTTTTGCAGTACCCTCATTTTTAGTCGATTTGCATGTGAAACTTCTAAGAAGAATGGGGAAAAGTTCAGTGTCGACTGACAAATGGGAGCGATATGTCATTAAGGTAGAACATTCATTATAATGTCGTATTAGGTATATGCTCATGGAAAGATCCATTTTGACATTTATATATACAGTAAAACTTGTTTAGTACTAACACGGATATTGTGAATTCATGGATATAGCAAGTTATCTTTGATCCCCAGCTATATAGATTGAACAAATTTCTTAAACGGATATAATAAATTATGGATATAGCAAAGTAATTTCATACAAACATGGCTATTGCAAATTCACGGATATAGTGAAGTTATCTTTGATCCCCAGCTATATAAATTGAACGAATTTCTTAAAAAGATGTAACGAATTATCACGGATATAGCGAAGTGATTTCATAGGTCCCAGTGACTTTGTTATAACCGAGTTTTACTGTATTCCTTATCAATAGCAAGCAAGCAAACGAGTGTCATGCTTCCCCAATCTCCATGGCTCTATTTATTTAAAAATTATCATCATGTAACATACTAAAGATCTATTACAATTCACTTCATATAACCATTGACACATAATTCGAAATGCACTTAGTATATGCCTTGAACCAGATATATTATCTTAAAATACTTGGTATAAATTTCCAGCTATTGTATACTTTATGATTTATGGATTCTTTTTATTCCTTTGTTTAGTTCATACACACCTACTCCAGTGTTGATGCCTGGGAGGTAGAGAGATTTGGATACAAGCATTGCAAAATAGCAACGAAACTAACAATCTTAAAGGTATGTTTACTGTACTAATAAAGATTAATTCTGCAGATAAAGAGATTATTCAATAGAGGTAATTTATAAGAGACTGGTGATTTTGTATTGATATAGTAACTTTCCAATATGGAATTGATAAACACGTAATTTTTGTATGATATTTAAGAAATTAAAATGAAGATTCATTGTAAATGGCTAACAGATGATTAATTTAATTTAGAACCTCCTTGAGAAGCAGTTTGACTTCAACTCAAAGTTTAAAGAACAGATAAATGCCAAGCCTGCTGAGGATATGAGGTTTGAGCCACTTGGTCGAGATAGAAATGGATTAGCCTACTGGTATCTCATTGTAAGTAACGAGCATTCTTAGAAAAAAGCCAAGTCTACAATCTGTCTAGGATATTTTTGTAATATAGTGAAAGTAAGATGGACTTCCTAAGCAATTGCTGAAAAGCTTTAAGAAAATCTACCTGATCATAATAATTCTTTTGGTGTTTTATATGACTTCCTTTAAATAGAAAAAAAAGTTTGGGATTTAAACTACTTTTGACAGTGAATTGATTCTAAAATTTCATGATTTACTCTCTAAACTTTGAAATTTTGTATTGAACTAAAGTGGATCATGTATTGGTATATAACCCTCTTTATGGTTGTTTGTTTACGCAGGATAAGGAGTTCAATGTCCGCGTGTACAGAGAAGATCAGGATGACATTGACGCAGAAACCTGGGAAGTTGTTTGCAAGTAAGAAATGAAAAATAACAGACATATCATAAAAATAAAACCATAGGGTCAATAAGTAAGCTATGAAAAATAGCCCATATGTCATAAATACATCTGTGATTAACATATTTTCAGGCATTACAGAAGTAATATAACTTTAATTAACTTATAATCTCCCTCACTTCATTTGTCTGATTACAGATTTATCATACTTGAATGATACCAAGAGACATCACATAGGAAAGCCATTCACTTCAACATTAATTATTTTCAGCATTTTTTAGCATGTACATGTATATATACCAACATGTGCATCACAGCACTTATTGACACATGTATCATCTGACAAACTCAACAGTGTTCCAGCTAGGATCTGAAAATGGAGGGGTGCAAGAGAAAGGCACTTTTTTGCGACTTGCCGTTAATTTGTCGCGAGCTTTTGTTACATAGGCATATCTCATCACTTCACCGTTATAAAAATGAATTACTTCAAATATCATTAATTTAACCTTATTGATTTGAAAGATAATTACATAAACACATACTGATAAACTCATTTAAAAGTATATTTATTAGCTAAGTAATTTAAACATTTAAGAATTATAATTTCAATTAACTCTTTTCCCCTTAGACCTTTCCCTCCTTTACCCCTTAATGACGACTTTTGACGCCTAGCCCCCAACCCTTAATGATGACTTTTGACGCACCTGTATTTCATTGTTGAATTGACTTGAAATTACCGCTTGTTTACAAAATATCAGAGCACAGGTGGCCACCTGCAGGTTAACAATAGATGATTGCATCATACTACAGTTAGAAATCACGTGATTTACCTGTGTAAACAAACAATAGAATCTTGGAAAGTCCCACCAAAATTCAAAATGGCGGACTGTTACATACGATGTTTTTTGAGCATATAACTCAGTAAATACGCAATATTTTCTTATCCAGTAAAGCATTACATGAAATTCGAGCTATAAACTACCTATTTCTTGAAAGGTTTGAAAATTATAATGATCTATATGTGTAATATACTCCAACATAAGTTATGAAAATTCTGTGAAGTTCGGGACCGCGCAGTGCCGATTTCGTTACCTGCTTCTCACAAATTCAGAAGATACCTTCCATTTTACACATATTTATAAATGTAAAGGTGTAGAAAATAATTATTTTAATAGAATTGGATCATTAAAGTATCCAAAAACGTTCAGAAATCAAGTTTTAGGATGCAAGTCTGAAAATTTGTCGGCGAGATAATCAGATTGACATTGAAGAAGCACTACAATTTATTGATTTCTGAGTAATTAAACTTATAAAATTGATAATAAATAATAATTTAACCATCAATTATATCATCACACATATTCTTTATTTATACAGGCAATTTTGGCTTATTAAAGCCGTTTTACATGTTGAAAATATCTATTTTTCTATTTACACCTGCTTTTACCTGAATTATTTTTTAACAGAAAATTCCGATCTAAATTATGTAAAAAGATTTGAAAAATTTAATTTATTACGAATACAATGATATATAATACATACCGGTAGTATAAATGAAATATTTTGACCCTTAATAGTTCAGTTTTAAACTGCACTCCAATTCTTCTAAAACGCTCTAAGGGGCAGCCAGGCAAACACTCTAAGGATATGGCCAGTGCGTCAAATCGTGGCATTAAGGGGTAAAGAGTTAAAGATCATCTTAGGATAAGTGTTACTTTTCTTCCATCATTTTCAATCATGTATTGCTTCAAATATTTGAATATTAATAGCTAGTCCATGATTTGTTGTATGAGATATACGTCTCTTTCTACATATTTTGGAGGGGCACGTGAATGTAGGATTTTATATATGCTTGATTAAATTTTTTATTAGTGTTTTATGAAATTAGATAGATTTTAAATAAAAAAACTAATTAAAAAACATTCTGCTCAAAGTTCTACTTTCAACTTCCCGTGCTGAGCAAGGGAACTTGTCTTTTGCATGTATATGTCGTACTTTAAATAATGTAAACTTTTATATGTAGGGGTAATGTAACGTTTTTTGTAGCAGTAATGACCATGTAGCGGTAATGAAAATTTTTAAAATATAACGGTAATGATACGCACCCAATTGAATGTTGGGACCTGTACAGTATACAGGTACTGTAATGCGAGTTCATTACGTAATCGTTTATGGCAGGAGGTGTGAATTGTTGATAGGCCTCAGGTATTCTGCTTTGGCACACATTAATTATTTTAATGAGTGAAAAGGACAGTCAGAATGATACAGGACACAAACAAGGGACATAGGGACGCCTGCTAGGGGCACAGGGGTGCACTGATTTGAGGGCGAGGCGCGGTGCCTCTCCATTTCCCTCTAGCTGGAACACTGCTCAAGGAACATATTAAAACTCACCCAAGCAGAAAATAATTACCTGCATTTCATTTTCCTTTTTGCATTAAGATGAGGGGATTATGGATTATCTGTTTTGTTTATAAGGAACAGGAATGACCTGGCTGAGTTGATTGACTCGCTGGAGGATCAGATCGCTGGTAATGAGGTCAAGGAGGACAGCGAGTCCGAGGCTGGTAAGTCAGGGTACGACAGTCAACCAGGTATTGTTCTGGGTACGACAGTCGACCAGCTAATGTCCTGGGGAGAAAAAGGCCATAAGGCAAAAGAAGATTGAAAATTAAGAATATTTCTGTTCATGTACTGCAGATAATAGAATAGTGTGTGATTTTATTTTCAGATACCTATTATATTTGATAAAAATAAGTTTATGGCAATCAGCGTCAATATTTGATAGGGTTATGCATGTACATACTTGTATACTAATGAACCTGATCGCTATGTAAATCTCTTTTTGATAAAGTTGTACGTTCATGAATACTTATGAATATGATCCAATTTTTACATTAAACAGTATCATTGACAGAGAACACAAATGGTGCAGTCAAGAAAGAAGAGAAGGTGGATTCAGCTGAGGAGGAGGTGAACGGTTCATCCACCGTGAAGAAGGAACCAGATAAGATGGACGAAGTAGACGGAGCAACGGAAGAAAAGGATGATAACACAGAGGAAAAGAAAAATGTTGACGCAGTAAAATGTGAAAGTAAGGACCCAAAACAGAAAGTGAAAGTAGAGGTCAAAAGTGAAGATTCTGTACAGGAGGAAAAGAATGTCAAGATGAAAGAAGAACCTCATCAAGAAGTGAAATTAGAGAATTCTGTAAAGGTTGAAGAATCTTCTACTAAAGAGGAGAAAATTAAAGATAAAGAAATTAGTGTTAAAAGTGAGATCCCTGAAGAACAGGGAGGAAAAGAGGAAAAGGGGGGTAATAATGAAGACACTGTGACAGTGAAACTGGAAAAAACAGATATTAAGGAAGAAAGGCCCACAAAGATAGACATGCAAGATAGAGTGGAAGAGGCAGAAATTAAAAAGGAAGAATCCACAGATGTGGATGCATGTACAATGAGTAAAGCAGAAGAAGCAGAAATCCCAAAGGAAAATGAATTGGCAGATACCTCACACAAGGGAAAGGAGGGGGCACCTGATGAAGACGACCACAGCAAGGGGGGAGAGACAGGAGAAACTAAAACTGAGAAATCTGTAGAGGCTAGTGCTTCAGGTGATGAACCTTTGGAGACTAGTGCTTCAGGAGTTAAAGATACTGAACCAGAAAATAGTAAAACAGATGGAATGAAAAAGGGAGAGCAATCAGAGGTAGCGACCTCAGTGAAAGAGACCAGGGAAACTGACACATCAGGTAGCAATGTCTCAGTGAGTAGTAATGATAAAGCAGTGGGTGGGGAGAACAGGGAACAGGAAAGGTTAACTGGGACTGATACGGTAGAATGCACTGATAATAAGACAACTGAGGCTGATAAAACTGTCAAGTGTGATTCTGTAAAAGAAAAGGGTGATCCTGAAGATCGAAATTCTAACAATATTGAACCTAATGAAGCAAACAATCACAGTAAAAGTAGTACTGTCACTGAAAATAAGACAGAAATTGATACTGAAAAAGAAGATATTCTGAAAAAAGATGATAGTGAATTAAAGTTAAGTCCTGAAAAAAATGTGAATGACACTTATAATGAGAGTAAAGAAAAAGCACCTGAAGAGGAAAGCCACAAAGAAGAAGAAAAAGTGAAGTTAAAGGACAATAAAGATTTGAAAGATTCAGGGAAGGAGGATAAATCAGGGAATATCCCTGAGAAAAGTCCAGCTACAAAGTTGTCTGGTGATGGTGAGGTAGAATCTCCAAACTCAGAAAGTAAAGAAACACAGAAAACCGAAAATAAGGAAACCAAAGAAAATACACAGAGTGATGTCTCTGCAGAAATTACAGAGAGAGAAACACAGGAAAGTACAGAAAATGGAGAAGCTGGAACAGTAGATGCCAATAAGAGAGAAAGCAACATAGAGGTTACATCAGAGGAGGCAGGCAAAGGTAAACATGATCAAACATCAGAGAAGCCTGACCTTACATCCAATAAGTCTGAGGTTTCAACAGAGAAACCTGACCATACAACAGATAAGTCTGATATTACATCCAGTAAGTCACAGCAGTCTGCAGAGAAACCTGACCATACAACAGATAAGTCTGACGTAACATCCAATAAGTCTGAGGTTTCCACAGAGAAACCTGACCATACAACAGATAAGTCTGATATTACATCCAATAAGTCACAGCAGTCTGCAGAGAAACCTGACCATACAACAGATAAGTCTGAGGATTCTACAGAGAAGAAAAAGGAGAAAAATGATGATGACAGTGAAAATAAATCAGCTGAGAAAACAGAAGAATCTACTAAGGAATCAAAAGAAGCGCATTCTGAGAATGATTCTAATGCTCTGAAACTGAAAGAGAAAACAAAGAAACCAAACCTTAAAGGGGGCCGTAAGAGAGGGATAGAGTACGAAGAATCAGCTGAAGATTCCCCCGTAGAACCCAACTCCAAAAAAGCCAAGGATGGCAAGAAAATCATTCCACGGGGAAAACGCAGGACTCCAAAGAAAGTGGACTCCTCTTCTGACAGCGATGATGTACCACTGAGTAAAATAGGGGCCAAGAATGGGGACTCCAACAGAAAACGCCCCGAGTCATCCCCCAATGTACCCTCCAGGAAAAGTAACAGACCTGTCAAGGTAATCAAAGAAATTACATTCCATTTGTAGGTTCTCTTGAACATTTCTTAGCCCATTACACGTAATAATTATTATAGTAACAGAGTTTCAAATTTCTAGATCAGTGTTGTTAGCTGATACCTTATATCTCCTTTCAAATACTTGCAATACTTTTTATATATGAATTGAATTTATTTCAAAGCTAAAATCAGTATGACAGCAATTTCTTTACAATTGCAAAATCAGTAAAATAAAATTAAGATCTAATTCTGTCCAAGAACTATATAGTTGTTTAATGGTGCTAACTAATCGATAATATGTTTACAGAAGAAGAAAATTTCCAGTGAAGAAGAGGATGAGAGTCCAAAGAAAACAAAGTCTAAACGAAAAAATAATATGGAGAAAGGGAGTGATAGTGAGGAGGAAGGGAGCCCAGCACCAAAGAAAAACTCCAAGAAATCAAAACCACCCACCAAAAAGACAAAGAAACAAGAACCGGACTCTAGTGATGAAGATGTCCCACTCAAAAATACGAAAAATGCTAAAAACAAACCAAAACCGAAGTCTGAGGAAGCTGTTCCTAGCGACGAGGACGACCAGGGGAGGAGGAGGAGTGCTCGCGTGAGGAACATGAGACAGAGAAAGGAGCCAACACCTGAGCCCTCGAGCTTCGAGGAGGACAATGTGGACAGCGAGTTTGAGATCGGCTCAGAACAGGAAACTACGGACGACGAATTTACTCCAACCAAAGGACGCAATGCACAAAGACAAGAAGCCCGTAAACGTAAGTTAGAATCTACAGGTATGAAGTTTTTAAGTGCTATGGCAGAACTCCAGAAATTTTTTTCAAAGCAGTTGGTACATTAAGATTTTTTTTTCTCAAAGATGACAGGAATATAGAAATTCTTTTTGATGTCTTGGCATTCATGATGCCAAAGATGTCTGTTCCTTCCTTAAATTTTTTTAAAAATCAAAACCTTTACAGAAATGTCCCCTTTCTGTTTGTAGGTCAGTTAGAAGAAGACGAAGCAGAAGAAGATATTCCTAATGATACACCGTGCTGTAAATGTCAGAAAACTCATCAGCCAGAATGGGTAAAACATTTACCTTTTGTATTATAAATATAGTCAACACAAGCAAGCTACGAAAATAGTAACATAGCAATAGCATATACTAAATTTTCTTTAAGATTCAGTATGTGTTAATTATGTGTTTCGTTGATCATTATACCGTGGCTTTCTACACTGCCTGTTTTAAACCTCCACAGAAAATTAGATTTCTGTTTCATTTTTACTGTGTGCCTGTCTTAGATCACCACTGATAATTAACTCTGTTTCAGTTATTATTGTGTGATAAATGTGATGCAGCCTTCCACACCGCTTGTCTCCGACCACCACTTATGATTATTCCGGACGGAGATTGGTACTGCCCGCCCTGTGAACATGTGAGTCTCGAACCTTAAATTGTTAATAACGAAAAGTTTCCAAGTGTTGTTTCCATAGTAAATGTCATATAAATATTGTATATATACCTCAGAAATAATTCTAAAAAAAAGAATTCAGAGTCATGGACATATCGTAACAGTTGCTTATTGAGATGAACACATAGTACATGTAGTTGATCATTGAATACATTTCAGAAATCTCTGGTCACTCGGTTACAAGAAAATCTTAAAGACTTAGATACCAATCTAAAGAAGCATGAGAGAATTATTAAAAGGTAAACCTGAAGGAAATTCAGATGCATAAGTATCTCTGCCATTTGAATTTTTTTTTATAATATTCTTGATGAGAAGAGCAGAAAAAAAATGAATTTAACTTGTCTATTAATCTTCTTTTTTCATTTATTAACTCTTGTGTCAATAATTTTGACATGATGAGGGACAAACTGAGAATTAAATACACATTTTGATATACTCTCATTCACATGTTAATTGTAAAAACTGTCCAAAATGTCATAAAGTATACAAATTAGTAGCATTTTTGTTTATCTTATGGAGATTGTCAATGGAGAATAATAATCTAAGCTGTTATTTATAAAGCTGTAAAAAAATTTATTTTCCAGAAAACAGAGGCTAGCATATGTTGGAATTAGTTTAGACAACATTCTGAAAGAGGTAAGTCCTGTTTTGTTCTGTTTTATTCAGTAATGGTTTATATCTGTACCTCAACTTTAGGTTCATCATCCAAATGTTAACAAGTAAAACTTAACACATGATTTTCCAGAGGTAATGCACACAGTTTAAGCATAGATTTGTTTATACCTTTTGGGCACAAATTGTGCCGAAACGTTTAAAATATTATATAAATGAAAAAAAAGATATTAATCCATTGAGAGTTATCCCCCTTATCAATGTAGGTTTACCTTAATGAAGCCCCTGATTTTTACCAGTTCTTTCCTTTGTTTATAATTTTAATGAACTGTTTTTAGGAGTACAAGGAGAGGAAGGAGAATATAGCCCCAGAGGAGGAATACGAGAGTGAGGAGGAAAGCCGCGACAGTTTTAACCCCAAACCCCGCAAAAGTAAATACATCAAACGCTCGTGTAGACAGCGGAACACCATCAGCTACAAGTTTGAGGACTTTGATGATCTGATTGACAAGGCCATTAAACAGGAGGTGGAGGAGGTTAAAGAGTACAAGAAACATAACTACGGTGGGTAATATAGGGGAGTCCAGAAACATAAGTATAACGATGGTAGTCAAGACACATAACTATGATGGGTCTTATAGGGGAGTCAAGAAACTATGGCTGGTGGATTAGTGTAGTCAGAATTGTATGTAAAAAGTACATTTTTAGAATAAGTGTAATATAAAAAATGAACTGTTTACATGTATGTTCATATATTTGCAATTTCAGGTGTAATTTGCAATGCCATTCAGCACATTACAAAGTTGCATTATTTTTGCAACTGCAGACAAGCAAACCACACAAGAGATTTGTGAATTTCCTTTCTGACAAAGGATTTGTTCTTTTTCCAGGTCGCAGTCGAGGTAAGGACATGGCCAATATTTACGAAGCTGAGGGTCGTGAATACGTACCCTCCGATGAAGAGAAATCTGACAAGCCACCACCAGTGGTCAGCAGGAAAAAGCGAGCCCGACGACTGACGACACTGGACAGCGACGATGACAATGACGAGGGAGATGAAAGTGAAGAGTTCCATCTCTCAGAGTAAGACCTGTCTGATGAAATTCTGTGTCAAAGTTTGATCTTTATCATTTTTTGAAATAAATCAACAGAATAACAAAATTGTACTCACCTGGAAGTACCCATGAACTAGGTACCAGTACCTCTGCTCTCCTTCAAAAAGTACTGATTAGAAAAAATAACAGTCTACAGCTGACTTTAAAATCCACACAGATACAAGTATTACTTGAAATTGGTCAATCAGCTTGCATTAGTGTTATGCTTATCCTTATCATAAACAAAGGGAAACACCCATTGTCTTTCATTTGATTCTTATCTGAAATGTTTGACAAATTTCATCTTAGGGTTGTTGGAAGTTATGATTGCCTACTTTCTGTTTGATAGTGAGACTGTGTCTGAGATAACTCCCTACTTTCTGTTTGACAGTAAGACTGTGTCTGAGATAGTTCCCTACTTTCTGTTTGACAGTGAGACTGTGTCTGAGATAGTTCCCTACTTTCTGTTTGACAGTAAGACCGTGTCTGAAGTTATAACCCCATACTTTCTGTTTGACAGTGAGACCGTGTCTGAGGTTATAACCCCTTACTTTCTGTTTGACAGTGAGACCGTGTCTGAGGTAGTTCCCTACTTTCTGTTTGACAGTGAGACCGTGTCTGAAGTTATAACCCCTTACTTTCTGTTTGACAGTGAGACTGTGTCTGAGGTTATAGCCCCTTACTTTCTGTTTGACAGTGAGACCGTGTCTGAAGTTATAACCCCTTACTTTCTGTTTGACAGTGAGACCTTGTCTGAGATAATTGTCTACTTTCTGTTTGACAGTGAGACTGTGTCTGAGATAATTCCCTACTTTCTGTTTGACAGTGGATATAACTCCCTACTTTCTATTTGACAGTGAGACCGTGTCTGAGGTCCCTGAGGAGGAGCAGGAGGACAGTGAGGATGATGAGGATGAGGTGTCAGACTACAGCGAGGACGGAGAGGGCTGGAGGTCATGTCGAAGGTCATCCAGGTACGGGAAACCCACCAGGAGGAGCTCACGCAAACGAGGACGACACTCCATCTTCAAAGACTTTGGTAAGAGATCTTTCATTTGTTTTTAACTCAGCTCAATGAAGTCAATATGAGATAATGCTATTTCCCCCCACCCACTCCTTACCCCTGAAGCCTTGGCTTTGGTGTCAGGGTTGGCATCATACTTACAGTTTTAAAGTAAATTTCCTGCCATTTACATGTAATTATTAGAGAGTACATCATGACCCAGAACCAAGGCTATACAGTTAAAATTTGGTATCTCAAACATTGATATTTGAATACTGTGGATACGTCTAAGTGAATTAGTAGTAGTCCTAATACTTATTCTCTAAAGCATTGATACTTGATAAATCTTTTCAAATGAAATCAAACCTCTGTTTACTTTAAAGCATTGATACTTGATAAATCTATTTAATGCTATCAAACCTGACATTTCTATTTATAGTTGTTGATGAGGATGAGGACAGTGAGGACAACAGGAGGACGGCCCGGAGGTCAGTGAGGAAGAGGGCGACCTATAGAGACCCGTCCAGTGAGGAGGAAGAGGAAACAGAGGAGGAGACGGAGGAGAGCTTCGACAGCGAAGATCTGTGTTCCGAGGACAGCGACACCAAAAACAAAAAGGGCAAACAGAAGAACGACATCACAAAAAAGAAGAAGATTGAAAGTAATTCAGAGACCGAGGAGGAAAGTGATGAATCTCGTACAAAAAAGAAATTCAAACCCTCAAAGAAAAAGGCAAAAAAGAAAGTAGAAGAAAGTGAAAGTGATTCTGAGGATGACCACCAGAGAAGGTCACGAAGGAATGTGAAGAAAATTGACTTCAAATCACTTATGTTGTCTGAAACTGAGAGTGAAGATGGAGGGAAAAGCAGCAAAAAGAAGAAGAAGATTTCTAGCAGTGAGAGTGATGTTAGTGATGAGACGGGATCAGAGAGTGAGAATGAGGAGGTCGTGAAGAAGAAGAAGAACGTCATCCGAGACGAATCCTCAGGAACGGATGAATACGAACCCGAGGAAAAGGAAAGCAAAGAGGATAAGAGTGAAGCCAATGATAAAAATGAGGATGCAAAACCAAAGGACAAGGTGGAGGAAAAAATTGATGAAACGTCTGTTGACAGTTCTGTTGTAAATAATACATCTAATAACAATGAACAAACTGAAAATGCAGGTGTGATGAAATCTCAAGAAACACCACTATCTCATCCAAATGTTCCTCTTACAGTCACTAGTGAACATTCAAGTGCCCCTGTGAATAGGAGATTTGAGGATCAAGGCATTCCTCCAAATATGCCTCCTCAGCAGGAAAACATGTTTCCAAACTTTCCAAATATACCTCAAGTCCAACAGAATGTTGGCTTTCAACCGCCTGGACAGCAGTTTCCAAACCAAAGACCACCTTTCCCAGGAATGGAACGACCTAGTTTTCATCCTCAGCCTGGTCCACTGAAAAGCCCCCCTCATGTACCCAGCAATCCCCCCAGTCATCCACATATCCACAATCAGCGACACATATCAAGTCCATCCCAGGGGATGTCAAGTCCCCCTCCATTCCAGAACCGAATGGTCAGTCCACCACATCAGATGACCAGTCCTTCCCACAATCAAGCCCCTCCCCACAATCAGATGAATCAATGCATGCCCTACCCCTCCAATCAGATGGGACTTCGTTCTGGTGACCCTCAGCGCTTCCCTATAGGTTCCCCTCCTGTTCCATCGTCCCAGGCCACTCAGATGCCTTTTGATTTAAGGATGAATCCTAACAGAATGCCCATGGATTTCAGAGGACCACATCCAAGGATGATGAATAGCTCAAACTCGTATCCACAGTATGGACCCAACATTGGAAATGTTCCACCAGGATCCCAAGCTACAAACTTTCAAAACCAAATGAGAATGCATGGTCCTATGCAGTCTAGGATGGAAGGCCCAGGACAAATGGAACCTGTAACTTCTTCACCAGGTGGCCCTTTGACATCACTTGGACAAATGGTTGCACCTGGATATCAGAGTCAACCACAGCAAATGCCTAGACAAGGTGTCCCTCCAAATTCCATGAATATGGGAATGCCAAGACATAATATGCCACAAACACAGCAAAAGCCTCATGGTATGCCCCCAACTACTGCAACTCCAAACACTGGTATGCTGCCAAATACTCAAGGACAGCATATGCCTCCAAACTTGCCCATGCATAACATGCCACATTCTGGTTCTCAAGGCATGGGATTCAATATGCCAGGTCAGGGGGGAATGCCACCTGCCTATCCAGGGCAAACTCCCTCCTTCAACAGCCCTAATCAAGGCACAGCACCACCATCAGCTGAAACTCCAAAGACAAAATCTAAGCGAGGCAGACCTAAAGGCAGCAAAACAAAAAAGAAAAAGGATGCTCCAATAGAAAATGATGATTCTTCCAAATCTCCAGGGTCTTCTCCCCAAGTAGACCCTCCAAAACTTCCCTTCCCTGCCTCACACACAGGAGAAATGGATCAGAGACAGATGCATCCAGCGGGTGTTCCAGAAGGTCTGCAGAGACCAATGATGCCACCTGGTGGTCCAGAGGGGGTACATAGACCCATGATGCCTGGAAATGAAAATAGGTCAAAGCCCCCACCATATGTTCATAGAAATGAAGCAAGTCAGAGACCTCCAGTCAGCCATGTTCCCCCAAGTGATTTTGGTAGCAGACCTCCTGATTCAAATACATCATCGACTGAAGCAAGTCAAAGAGTAAAAGATAGTGAAAAACGTAAAAATTCAATAGACAGTGATAAAGGGCCTGTGGATGAGACCAATCCAAGCCCAGCCAGTAATGTAGTAGTACAAAAAACCCCAACAAGTGAAGGCAGCAGCAAACAGGCAGGAGAAACTGAAGTTAGTAACAGGTCAACTAGTCATAGGCCACCACCAATGGGTTTAATGGGTCAAAGACCACCTGGTCCAGAAATTGGTCATAGACCGCATGCTCCAGAAATTGGTCATAGACCACATGCTCCAGAAATTGGTCATAGACCACATGCTCCAGAAATTGGTCATAGACCACATGCTCCAGAAATTGGTCATAGACCACATGCTCCAGAAATTGGTCATAGACCACATGCTTCAGATATGGGCTCACGGCTGATGGTTCCCACTTCTGGCCAGATGGGTCAGCCTCCTATGCCACCACAGTTCAGCGAGATGGGTCAAAGACCAATTCATCCAGGCATGATGCCTCCTAGAATGATGGACCCTAGAGGCATGATGATGTCACAAGGGCACCCAGTGAGAGCACCAATGCCCTATCCAGGGTATCATTATAACAGGGAGCACTTTGGTATCAATGGACACCCAGCGTCGGTACACTCTTCTCTACAGGATCCTGGGTTTCCAGGCATGAACCCACCTATGATGAGCTCACCTCATCAGAACCCAATCATGCACCCCAGTCAAGTGGCCCAACCCTTGGGAGGAGGACGGGGTTTTATGATAGACAATCTGTTAGAGAAAAACCAAAAATCTGGGATGTCTTCATTCTCTGAAAATATGGAGGAGGGAGGTTCTAATGCTGAGGAAAGCAAAGCGGACCCACCACAGATGGAGCAGGAATACGGGTCAGGTTTCCAAGGTGACCAGGAGGAGGAGGGGGTGTCAGACATTGCTGACATTGTCAAGTAAGTCAGGACTCTATGTTTACAGGAAAATGTATTGCAAGTGACAGTAATTGAACAGTTATTTATAGTTTGGTTTGGAAAGGCAGACTGTCTCATCTTGAATAGTACTTCAATCATTTTGCCATTTATTGCTTTGTTCGATAGATGGTTGCTACCATTCATAATTGTGAGTCAAGAAAACAAATAAAGAATCTCTCCTATTTCTTTTATGAAAAACAAATCTGACAGAGAATGTTTTTACGTTTTTGCCATTTTTTGAACAAAATCATCATAAATTGAGATAAAACACATATCTGTTTTGTTTGAAACTAAATGAAATGAGATTGATATGTAGATAGAAAAGTGTAAGCTATTAAGGTATTCTGTACTTACAGAGATTTGTAATGAATGTTGTTTTTGTTTATAGGTGTTTTAAGGCATAGGAAGCTGATTTTCTTGTGTCACATGACCTGTCTTCCTGGTGATCGTCATGGAGAACCAGCTTAACCAATCAGAAGCTGCTGCTACAGTATTCAAATAGTACGTACTCAATAGACGCTCCTACTACCAAGAAGGACATCCCAATGAAGAGGTTACAGTTTGCTGCAGTATAAAGTCCCCTATAGACAAAGTCAAACTGGTCTATAGCAGCTTTGATTGGTGGTTAACAGTGTTATCATGTATTCACATTTGAGCTCGTTTCCAGTATGAAGAGGAAAGAATTGAAGAAAATTAAGCTGTGCAATCCTTCTTGTACATATACACTTGTATTGCATTTAATCAGCTGATTGACAGAAGGAATGTACATGTGTGCCCTCTCTTTCTGTTGCAGTCATTAAATCATACATTTAGAGTCATCTTTTATAACTGCCTATAGGGTTGTGATTGCATTTTTTAAAAAAAAATTTTGTACAAATATATAATGTACTTAATTTTGCAGTGCTTTGTGTAAGGATTTGATGAGATGATTTCCCCCATCTCCAAATACTGGTAGTTTCAGTTCCAAATTGTGTACATGTGCAATCATGTTTAGGTTGAAAATATGTTATTTTCCTATTTTGCCAGTAGCTGTTTATATATTATGTAAACAGTATTTGTTCTACTTTTAAGATATTATTGTTGACTTTATTTACAAGTGTTACTGATTTTATGAAAAAAAAAAATCTCCCATTTTGAATTGCATCTCGTCACTTTTTAAAAGTTCATTGTGTGTTTTGATAATTTGTATTGTTTACAACATTGTTATTTAAGTGTAACTTAGACCTTAGTTTACTTTGTTTATTGAAATTGACCAGGAACTTTCTATACAAGGAATGATCCTGATTCACACACATTTATGTATATAAAAATGGGGGGGGGGGGGATTATGTTAACTTTGTTCCAAAATGGATCATGTACAAACAAGCTTTACCAAGGCATTGACTTCTACATGTATTTCACGTAGATCATGTTTTAGTGTGTATTTTGTACGATGTATTTTGCACTAAATTTTTTTTGCATATAGAAGAGGTGCTCAACATTTATACTACTTACATATATATTGTAAATTATGTAACATATATGTAAATACAATTTTTTTTTACTTATATAAATAGTAGACCATGTATCATTCATTCTTTTTGTAAATTTAAGATCATATAGAGCTTGTTACAAGTTGTGTATTTTTTACATCATTCTGAGACTGAAGGGCAAAGCTTTTCATTGTTATTTGTTTATCACCATTTGCTACTCCGAAAAATTCTGGTCGATAGCAATGCATTTTCTAGTTTTAGAGGCATTACATGCAATTTTTTTTCATATACTTGTCATATAAGTGCAAGTTATAATTAGTTATTTGTCTTATTAGCCATTTTAAAATAAGTTCCTTTTTCAGCAAAAAAGAGCAGAAATAGTTGAGGGGGACAAGGGAAATAACTCTAATTATAGAGGAGTAAATTTTGTGTCAGAAGAGGTAAAGCAGAAAACTGATCTTTTCTATGTATGATAGAGAGTATATATTTTTATATTATAATATTGTTAGCTTTTCAGATTTACAATGAAATGTACATGATCAGATGTAATTACAGTCTTGTGGTACAGACTCACCAAATATATGGGAATTTTTTAAATATAAAAACCTACAGAAAAACTTACAAAACTGACAGTTTTCCTTTGATAAGAAATGTTGTTTTTTCTTTGCATTGCCTTAACCATATTTTTATAGTTGACAGGAAACAGTTGGAAATTTAGAGATTCAATTTCTTTCTTTAAACATTAGTGAAGTAAGCCTATAGGGTTTTTTTTTTCACCGGGAAGGGGGGGGGGGGGGGGTAATTGACTTTCCTTTTAGGTGCTATATGTTATTCTGTTCGAGTATCTGTATCATTATGTTAATTGTCCATCTGAATTGTCCACTGTCTGCTTTGGTACAGCTACCCGCCGCTGTATCTGCTGTGTTTAAGCTTTGTCTGTTGTCTGTGTGTTAGATCTGATGTTTTTTGTTGATCTCAGGACTTCCCTGTATTTAGTAGCATCTGAAATCCTCATATCGCAGTGTCACTTAGATATATTCATGTTTTCATGAATCAATAAATTCTAAAAAGATTTCAAAGTGTCTTAGTCGTGTGATCTCTGAACGTAATGCTTATTAATTGCACAGAGTCAGTGTTGCAAGTTCAATGGTACTTATCCTCTGATGTTTTGCCGTGTGATGGGATTGAGGGAGATAGGGATTATGTTATTTATGACTTTTTCCCATGTGGAATGCTTTCTTGAAACCGTGGAACTCTGTTTCCGGAATGTGTTTTAGCACAGTGGACTTGTAGCCTTAAGCTTGTGAAAGAAATTCATTGTAGCGGGGGAGCAAGAGTTTTTAATGCTAATTAAAAGTGATGAATTTGAAATTAAAAATAAAAAACGTATAGCTTTTCAATAATTGTATTAAATTTGCTATTTAATACAAGAATTATTCAAGAAGATGGTGTCATTTCAAACAGTATACATAATTTTTAGATGTGATTATCTTCATACAGAAAGAAATTTACATGAAATCAAATCCACCAGAGGAATTTAATCCTACCGACTGGTTGTTAATACCATGTGAAAGAGTTCAATGTAACGGAGAGTTGGACGGTTGATGAGAGCACGCAAAAGCCGGAAATTGCTGAAAAGTCTAAGACATAAATTATTTTATTTTGTCATGTAATGGAAACATGTTCGAAACAAAGACACAAAATGCAAAGTAAATTCAAAGATTTAACATTATGTTGAATAAAAATACAGTGATAAGGCCATCTTTAAAAAAATGTTTGCTTGCCCCCTCCCAACTCGGTAAAATTATAATTATTGGGTCGGTAGGTATTAGGGAATTTTTTTCCCAGAATATTATTTTTGTCCACAGGTTTAGAGGAATAAAAATGATACCGTGTTCTGGAATGTCGAAAACAAGTTTTGAGTCGGACTATTAATAGTCAGTCGGTTAGAAGAAGGCAAACCAAACAATTTTAAAAGCTAGGTCTAATCTCCGTTTTGCATATAGGCTTATTTCTATCATGTCTATTTAAGGAAAACTTATAGCTAAAAGATAAATATGACCAATGTTATGATAATTTAGAAAAATTAATAGTCAGATCTCGTTGGAAAGTATCTGGAGTTTGGCTATCGTTAAATGCCCTAACCGTATACTAAAGGAAAACGATGTGAACATTCATTATTTTTAAAGGAAAATCGTTTATGCTTTAATGATAGATCAATTGCAAAATGATGACTTTAAACGAGACTGTTGACATCCTTGTTTCATCAACTTGTTTGTCAATAGCTTGCTTTGATTTAAAAATTGTACGTAGAACATGTCTTGTGTATCGAATCAAGGCCTAATCCCCATATGTATGTGATATAAGTGTACAAATTGTTACACAAGTAAAGGAAGTTGACGATAGAACAATTGCAGCCATAAAGTTTTTGTTGTTGAATACCAAAATCTACTTTTTTCCAATGAAACAGATTTGTTCCTCTCTGCGGTTTGTCTTATTACATATCGAATCGACATATGAATGGAAGTAATTACTATTGATTGAAAGTATGGCGTCGTTATATCTAAATGTCGAGTCGAAGGCTACAGAAAGTGTTTTCTATTGTTTTTTTTAAATAAATTCTGATACATCTGGTACAATATATATGCAAAATTGCAGATCATATCACTTTCTTAAACATTCACAATGATGTTATATTCTATTATACGAAAGAGACAACATATGAATATATCTTATAAAATAGATTATCATATTGTCCCTGAATAGCTGACCAATAATATTGTAAGAAAATGATTATACTAAAAAAGGTAATTAAATTAGTGAAATCCTATTTCAATATTTGTTGTGTTTAGACGAACATTTTATGACAGTTTTGAAAGCCCTTAGAAAGTCCTTATTTGAGTAGGCATAAAGAACAGGATTTAGGGTAGAATTAATGTAGGTCATCCAAAAGAAAAAGGTGTACAGCCAATCAGGGACCAGAGCGGGTTCCCAGGCGTAAATATCCCATGCCACGTAGAACGGGAACCAGCAAATCAGGTAACTAGTTATCACGTAGGTCAAAGTTCGGAAAATCCTGTGCTCTCTGTTACCATGGTTACTGGATTTAACCGTTACCGCTTTATCTGATGACGTGGACGAAGCCCAACTGGATGGCGGGGGCGTGGTCGAGATAATGGACAGCGTGGGCTCGGTTAATAAAGATCGGTCTCTTGTTGTGCAATCAACCATTAAGTGAGTGCTTGGTTTGACGTTGATAGTGGTTGGCCCGCTGCCTCTGTGACCTACTTTTTTAGACCGATTCTTCATCACCAGGTAAACTTTCAGGTAAGCGACGACGATCAGCAGACAGGGGATGTAGTGGCCGATGATATCGACGACGATGATGAATTCGCGGTTGTCGGAGGGCTCCCAGATGCACTTGTTGACCTCTTGATGCTTTAGACGGTCACCGATAAAGGGTGGTGTCCAAATGATGAAGACACAAACCCTGGAAGTGTGAAAAATTACAATGGTTATTCAAGGAATAAAAAGTATTTAATGACGAAGTTTTAAATTATTCTATAGAAATGATCATATAACATGTACACGATATAAAGCCCTTCTCTATTCAACCTTCAGACACATGAAGATCTGTTGTCCCTCACTATTCTGAGAAAAGTGGGGCGGTATTCTAGAAGTTTATTCCAAAAACGTCGTCGCCTATGGAAAACTTTGGCCAGTTCAACAAAAACTTAAAAAATTTCAGTAAATTAGAAGTTAAAAATATCTTTAAAGCATATTTAATCCAGCAAATTTTTGTGTAACAATTGGTTTTTCAGATTAGAGACTAGTTTTACTAGATTAGTTTGATATAAGCAAAACACAAAATAAGAGCAAAGCAACATACGAACCTCCAAAAACATCAGAGGACGTCTATAGGGTCAGGAGCCATGGAGGAGTGAGCATCCCCTGTCGACCTGTCACACCCACCGTGTACTCCTTGTCATGATCGGAAAAATAAAAAAAATGACTTACCACACAATGGTCAAGATAATGATGTTCTTTCTCTTCCCGTTAATTTGCTTGTACTGCATCGCCCATGTGACAGACCAAAAGCGATCTAATGAGATGGCCACGATTGTAAAAACACTGGCAAAAGTCATAGCATAGTCAACATAGATCCAGAACCCGCAGATAATGGTCCCAAACGGCCAGTACCCCAGGAGGGTGTCTATCGTATAAAACGACATGGCGAAGAGGGCCACCAAAAAGTCCGTGACCGCAAGGTTAACAATAAAGTAATTAAAAGGCTGTCTAAGTCTGGAATCTAATGCAAAGGACAGCATGACCAAAAAGTTTCCCACGATGGTGACCAACACAATGATAGAAAGCGTCAAAGTGATGAGGATGTTCTTGACCGTCACTTCCATGATTATCTGATATGTTCTATATGCCTGATAATATTCTCTGTCACTAAGGACGCGTGGACGAGAGAATTTATAAGAAACCGACTGTAAACAAATAAACCACGTGTTCTCATATCTAAAGCTGTCAATGCCATGATCTTACAATTGCTATATTTTGCTAGCAAAGACATTTTTCATTTGATTAATTTCAAGTTTAAATTTTATTTGTGTCACGTGATATTTTTTAAGTTGGCAATTCCAACTGTAAAGTTGCAATTCAGGAAGATGAAAAAGCCAAAAGTAGCTATGAATTACCAACTTAATTTGAAAAAAAAAATAGAGGTATTAACGTGCACGCTTAAGTAGACAAAAATGGTTAGAATTTAAGGAAGTCTAAATATACGCATATGCTGTGTATAATATCTTTTAAAACTCTTTATATACAATACAACAGGCCTGGGGTGGGGTGGGGGGATAAATTTGATCTTAGTAAGATTATACCGTAATGGTAAAATGTTTCATGTGTCCGTTCATTAATTAAAAAAAGAATTAACGTGTAAATGTATTGTGATTGAGAACTGAAAGTGATGCTGATTTAGAACTAAAGATGTCAATCCATAGCTACTAGACCGCCCCGTTGTTAATATCTTTTACCAAATCAGCTAGAATATGGTGGGAGATGGGCAGCATTATTGGATATGTTTATATCTAAGCAAAGCAGATGATTGGTCTATTTTATCATTACTTGGCACCTGATCCCAACTGGAATTCCCAGGAGTCCGAGTGTTACGTCTTACAAAGGCCTGTTGACATTTGTAATATACAGAGCATTCATTAATTTGAAAAAAAAATCCTCGAAATTCCGGAATTCCGGCTATAACCGATTCCACAATCACCCTGCGAAGGCTATATCCTGTTTAATTTTTTTTTCCAAACTGCAGACGACGTGGGAATTTTTGAAACTTTGAATTGCTAAAGAAAAAAATACAAATGGGTGATTTTTCGCCTATCTATTTGGGTAAGCAATGAGTCCAATAGATTTAAAACAAGATATTTAGGCTAGCTGCCGTGCATTTATGACTCCCTAGTTTGCAAACTTTGCAATATCTGGCGTTTTCCTGGTTTTTACGATTTTGATATTCTATAATATGCAAGTTTTCCTGGCATGCAAAATACCAAGTTGAAATCGTAAAAAAGGCCTGGAAAACGTAAGATATTTTGGACTATTGAACCTCCTGTGCATTTACGAAAGCAGAAATAGGCAAATAACACATGGAATAGTGAGAATATCCCAAAAGATTGTACACTCTATGAACTCAGATATGACCAGATATTGAGTGGAAATTCAATATTATTATACCTTTTGTAAAATAATACAGTGAGGTTTACAAGAAAAATAAGTTTAATAGAAATCTATAAACAAAACTTTACGATAAAAGTTATGATTTTAACTCTCGGAGTTTCCTAATTTATGGTAGCAGTATACTGTATATATCATTTATATTACCTGCAAGGCTGCATATGGAACAGTGTCCAAGTCGATATTATTTCTAAAGCAAGGCAGGCTGTAATCAAATGAGTTGATGCTACAAAGATATCAAGAGCTCTGTTTATTGTCAACGCTACACATATTTTATTTATTCCAAACAATGACACATGCAAATATAATCAGTAAATCAAATGTTGACGAGAGATCATTATACACTATTATTACTATTCTGAAAATTTTTTAAATATATTTTTTCTGTTGTTCGAAAAATACTTACATTTCATAGGAAGACGACCATTTAATTTTGAGACTGGGGTTTTGATTTAATGTGCAATGAATACATCTAAGAATTTTTTTTTTTTTTCAGAAATAATATCGAAGTAAGTACAAGTACATTTACATTATTTTAAGGAAGTGGACTTGATTATCAAATTATTTTGATTTTGTTTACAAGATTATTTTAAGAATTGAATTTGACTAATAATAAATTTTATCATTATTTTTAAATAACAACCGGTGTACGTAATAAATTCAAATTTATAACTGCTAGAAGATTAACTCATAGTAAAATAAGTAACCGATGTTCTAAGGTATCGGTTTCAAAAAGTAACTTTACTACTTTTTGTCCCCCGCTTGAAAAGTGGGGGATATTAATTTGGGTTTGTCCGTCCGTCTGTCCGTCCGTCCGTCTTTCTGTCTGTCTGTAACGCTTTCGTTTCCACACGATATCTCGAGAACCCTTTGAGCTTTTGCAATGAAATTTTGAGGTCAAAAGGTCAAAGGTCAAGGTCATAAATTCGCAAATTCTGTCTGTTATAACACTAGTCTTTCATTTCCGCAAGATATCTCAAGAACCCTTTGAGCTTTTGCAATGAAATTTTACATAACAGCTCCCTGCGGCCTAAGGGAGACCCCTATTGATTTTGAGGTCAAAAGGTCAAAGTTCAAGGTCATAAATGTATACATTCTGTTTGTGTGTAACACTATTCTTTTCGGGCGATATCTCAAGAGTATTTTGAGCTTTTGCAATGTAATTTTATACCAAAAGTCCCTAGGACCTCTCTCACCCCTCTCAAAGAGTCCCGACCCGTTTGTTTTAATAGTATTTTATGTATTACATGTCGCTATTTTTAGCACAGGGGCATGGAGGAGAGTTATTACGTATAAAACAGGTTCCCAGCGGACTTTATATTTCTTATTACATCTATCAGAACTGTTTAATAAAGCTTAAATTAAGACACCATACATTGTGTAAAATATTGACAATATATCAAACGTGAATATATACAAGTATGTGACTTCATATGTATATATAATTGTCCATAGTATGGTATATCTCTCGCTTCATAGACGAGAGGGCCCGGGTTCGATTCCCCGATAATTCATTTTTTTCCCGAAACTTTTTTTTTTTAACTAAGTGATAGTATTCAGCATGTGAAATGAAAGATTTCTGAGGTCTGGCTTGTACAAACTCATAAAATCATCATAACATGTGATAAATATTCTTTATAAAAAGGATCTTCTACACACAAAGAATAATCAATCAAACCTTTATATCATATTGGCATATTTTATTTGCTTCAGTATACATTTAATAATTCTAAAAATTCAGTCAAGGGGATTTACCCCCCCCCCCCCTCCCCGAACTGTGCATGGTTTACTTTTTCCCTAAGCGGGGGACACAAATTCTCTGAATTAGCTTGTTCTAGACAATTTTGCTTCCATTAGTATTATTAAAATGGTAAATATGAAAGACAAAAAAACCCATTTATTACTAAAAATGACAACAAATAATATTTTAGTCTTGAGAGAACTCTTGCCGAGGGACGTAAAGCATCTAACGTGGATATCCAGGTTATGTTCCAGTGCATATCAAGATGTCGTTTTCTGGTCCAGCAGCTAATTAAAAAGGAGGGGGACCAATTCTACAAGGTACGGACAACAAAAATCAAAATCCCAGAGAATTTGTAATTGTTGACAAAGCCTTTAGAAAAATTAATACTCGTTAGAAATTGCACTGTAAGTTGGTGTGTAATTTTGACACACACTTGAATTTTTTTTCCATCTCTAGAATATAGTGCTTCAGTTGGAAGAAACCCTAGCAACTCAAATAAACATCTTACAAGCAAAAATTGAACAGCTTAACGGGAAAAAGATACAGGTTACGCAAGGTAAGTCAAATTTTATAGCTGTCTAAACAGTGATTAATTGGAATTCACTCGGATATAATCAGAGAAAGAAATGAAAACTGAGATCGTGTTTCCTAACGAGTAGGTGACCCTCAACAGCGAGGGCGCAGAAGTGCTATAGAGGACACGATCATCACGAAGGGCGGCATCAGATTCCAGGATATTGCCGGCCTCAAAGACGCCAAAGAAGCTCTGAGAGAAGCCATCATAATTCCATTATTGTTTCCTCACCTGTTTACAGGTAATACATCACTGTTTCTTTATAGAAGCTCTGGATCATTTTTAGGGTAATGAAAAAGTAGGATGCGTCGGCAAAGTCTAGATTATTAATCAAAACGTAGGGTTTATTACGAAACGGAATAAATAAACTTTTTAAAAATAAAATTGTGAAATAAATCAATTTTCTGCATGAAAAATACGCAGTATCTCGGATTTTACTTTAGTTCTGAATTATTTTATGTTTCCTATGTAATTTTGAGTTATATACCCGTACCTTTTTTTTGATCCAGCTTTAGAGAGTAAATTTGGATGAGCCACGTTATATATAGTATATTTTATCCAGATTCTACTCTAAATCCATTCATTACTTTCTTTAGAGAGTAAATTTGGATGAGCCAAAATATGAAAATCAATTTGTATATATATATTGAATAAATCATGATAAAATTTAAATTTTAGCTCTACGTGTCGTCCTAAACTGGTATTTAAACCACTATTCACCTCTTATATAGCCTTGCTAACACGGTAAAGAACCACGTGATATACATCAGGTATTCGAATGAAAACCTTGTAATTCCGAAAAAGTAATTCTCACACCAAGTAGAAATTGATTTCTGATTTGCGACGATGAGTATATAGGTCCCTGATGTTTCTTAATTTCTGAATCTTGCATAAGTAATTTTAAAGAAAGTCGCAGTAATCTATTAAGGTGCTCTGTAGGTTTAAGAAATTCGCATGATTGATAAAAAAATACATGTTTAAGAATTCTAGCATTGTAACTCAATTTTGAAATTCTTGTCGCAATCAATGGAACATCAATTAATCTCTCTCTCTCTCTCTCTCTCTTTCTCTCTCTCTCTCTCTCTCCAGGAAGCATCAAACCCTGGAAGAGAATTCTTCTGTATGGACCCCCGGGGACGGGGAAGTCCCGCCTGGCCCAAGCCGTGTCCTCTGAGATCAAGTCCACATTCTACTGCGTGTCCAGCTCCGATCTCGTGTCCAGCTGGGTCGGCGAAAGTGAAAAGTAAGATCCTCTCTCTTCTAAATACTCAAGTCTAAATTACTGGGATTTATGAACTGGAAGTAGAACCTATCTTGTAGCAGGAGGGAGTGGGGGGGGGGGTCTCAGTTATCCCCCCTTCCATATAATCTGAACTTCTTTACATACAAATATTTTTTTGGTCCAGCAAGGGGTCGGTTTATTTTTTTTTGGCCATAAAAATTATACCTCCAAAAACCAGAGGGTGATGCAACCCCCTCCTCATCCCACCCCTATGCCCTAGCTTTATCCATTACTGAACACAAAGCTCAGGTGGTAGAGTAGTTAATACAGCGGAAGATTTCGGGGTAATTGGCTTTTCTGAATTTTAACAGGTTAATAAAAGAACTGTTCCAACATGCGACTAAACAGACCGGACGATCCGTAAGTCTTTTACATGAAGAGAATTCACAACATTGAAACTTGGAATAAACATTTAATTGTTTATAAAAGTATCTACAATTTTTAATTTGTTCCGTGAGATACCTGTGTCTTTACGCCTATGTAGGTGGTCTTTATTGATGAGATAGACAGCATCTGTCGTCAGAGAAGTTCCCGGGAGGAGGAGTACACGAGGCGAATCAAGACGGAGCTCCTGAAGCAGATGGAGGGGGCGGATACCGCCGACAGCTCGGACCAGATCTTCCTCCTGTGTGCCACCAACTGTCCCTGGGAACTGGACTCCGCCTTCCTCAGGAGATTCCAGAAAAGGATATTCATACCTCTCCCAGACAAGTGCTTAAACTCTTTATATTTTGTAGATATTTTGTAAAAAGTTTTAAAGACCTTTCTGAATATTTTGTAATAACTTTAAAACTCCTTATTTTAAGGTTTAGACAAATTTAATATGTAAATACTAGTATTTTGGGGTAATTTTTACAAAAATTATAATAAATTGTCAAAGGAAAGAGTTCAATTAGAAATTTTGTAAAAGATAAATTTCTTTTTTGAACATTTTTAAAAAAAGACCAACACTGCTACCTTTAAAAAAACTCTTATTTTTAGAGAGGCTAGAATTGACTTGATGAAAATCCACACTAAAGACAACAAGGTGGTGATGTCTGATGAGGATTGGTCAGTACTGGGGGCTCAGACAGAGGGTTACTCCGGAAGTGACCTCGCTAACCTGACCTTAGAGTCACTCTTCTGTCCAATCAGAGAGCTACAAACGTCAAAGGAATGGAAACAGAAAGGTCTCATAACTCTCATTATCGTGTCGTGTTTAATTGAATGCAGAACTACTAATAATTTGAAGTTCATTTCTCCTCACTTTTTGAAAAAAGAGTATCAACATAAGGAATTTCAATACCTAATAAAAATCAAATAATTATTGTGTTAGTGGAAAATTGGTAAGTGAAGTGGGTGACTAATATGAATTTTATTGAATTTCTTGGTAGATGACCAGTTTGTGCCTTGTAAAGATGGAGAAGAAGCGGATGTGAAGGCGACGATTGTGGAGATTCCAGCTCACAAGGTTATTATCATCTCTATATACATATAGAATATCTGTATATACAATACAGAACATCTCTATATACAACACAGAACATCTCTATATACAATACAGAACATCGCTATATGCAGTATAGAAAATCTCTATATACAATACAGAACATCTCTATATACAATACAGAACATCTGTATATACAATACAGAACGTTGCTATATACAATATACAACATCTCTTTATACAGTACAGAACATCTCTATATTCAATACAGTTATTCAGTACAGAACATCTCTATATACAGTACAAAACTTCTCTATATACAATACAGAACATCACTATATACAGTACAGAATGTTTGTATATACAATACAGGACATCACTATATACATCACAGAACATCTCTATATACAATACAGAACATCGCTATATACAATACAGAACATCTCTATATACAATACAGAATATCTCTATATACAATACAGAACATCTCTATATACAATACAGAATATCTCTATATACAATACAGAACATTGCTATATACAATACAGAATATCTCTATATACAATACAGAACATCTCTATATACAATACAGAACATCGCTATATACAGTACAGAACATCTCTATATACAGTACAGAACATCTCTATATACAATACAGAACATCGCTATATACAGTACAGAACATCTCTATATACATCACAGAACATCTCTATATACAATACGGAACATCTCTATATAAAATACAGAACATCGCTATATACAATACAGAATATCTCTATATACAATACAAAACATCTCTATATACAATACAGAACATCGCTATATACAATACAGAACATCTCTATATACAGTACAGAACATCTCTATATACAACACAGAACCTCTCTATATACAATACAGAACATCTGTATATACAACAAAGAACATCTCTATTTACAACACAGAACATCGCTATATACAATACAGAACATCTCTATATACAGTACAGAACATCTCTATATACAACACAGAACATCTCTATATACAATACAGTTATACAGTACAGAACATCACTATATACAACACAGAACATCGCTATACACAATACAGAACATCGCTATATACAATACAGAACATCTCTATATACAATACAGAACATCTCTATATACAATACAGAACATCGCTATATACAATACAGAACATCTCTATATACAGAACAGAGCATCTCTATATACAACACAGAATGTCTCTATATACAATACAGAACATCTCTATATACAATCAGGGCTCCCACTGGACCGAAAATGTTTTTCGCCACTTATCGCGACAAAAGGAAAGGCATCATTACATCTGATTTCTCGACAATGCAATGCACTTTATTTTATTCCTTTTTTTTTTATTATGTTTATCACGGACATTGTTTTAAAATTGTTATGTTTAAAGCTTATGGTAGTGTCCATTTAAAAAAAAAAAATAAAGTTGGAATTATACAATTAATTTGATATTGAATTGATATCAGCCAACTCTTAACAGAAAACGTCCTCATGTTTATATTTTTTGTTTGCCTGGGAAGGTGGGAGTAAAAATATATGACATTTTTTTTTAATGTATATTTTCATCATTTCATTAATGAATTGGGAAAAGAAGTAATTAAAAAGTAATGAGAATTAGATTTAAAACTTAAGACTTTATTTTAACAACTTGGATTCTACACTCCAGGGTATAATATGCAAGCTCGTGTAATTGTAAATAATTCAATGCAATTTACTTAGATAATTCTGTTTCCAAACCAATTTCTTTTTCACTATTTGTCAGTTTATGGTATAATGTACACATTTTTCAATTTTCATTAATTTAGGTAAAATTTGAAGCCATTGTTTACAATTTTCGTCATGTTTCCCTACTTTCGGTTTTAAAAAAACGATCTCCATAGATCCAGATTTTGTTGATAATTTTTTTTTATTTACAAACTTCATCTCCTAATAACACTTTATCCCCCCTTGTTTAATCAAAGTTATGTTATTTCAAGCAATTTTGTAACCCTTCATTGCTCCAGGCTAATAACCTAGTCAGCTGTGTTCGTTCAAGCGAGACGTGATTTCCTACATGTAGGTTTCAATTTTCACACCTCTGCTGAATTAAATAAACAATGGGAGTTATCTGTATACATTGAATAAACAAAGGAGCTAACCAGGACTACAAAATTTTTGTACATGGTACATCTAAAAAAATCATTTTCGCCACTTTTGAAAAAAATTCGCAATTGGCGACAATGGCGAATCACAGCTCGAGCCCTGTATACAATACAGAACATCACTATATACAGTACAGAACATCTCTATATACAACACAGAAAGTCTCTATATACAATACAGAACATCTCTATATACAATACAGCACATCTCTATATACAATACAGAACATCTCTATATACAGTACAGAACGTCTCTATATACAATACAGAACATCTCTATATACAGTACAGAACGTCTCTATATACAATACAGAACATCGCTATATGCAGTATAGAACATCTCTATATACAATACAGAACATCTCTATATACAACACAGAACGTCTCTATATACAATACAGAACATCTCTATATACAGTACAAAACGTCTCTATATACAATACAGAACATCTCTATATACAGTACAGAACATCTCTATATACAGTACAGAACATCTCTATATACAGTACAGAACATCTCTATATACATCACAGAACATCTCTATATACATCACAGAACATCTCTATATACAATACAGAACGTCTCTATATACAACAAAGAAAGTCTCTCTATACAATACAGAACATCTCTATATACAATACAGAACAACTCTATGTACAATACAGAACATCTCTATATACATCACAGAACATCTCTATATACAATACAGAACATCTCTATATACAGTACAAAACGTCTCTATATACAATACAGAACATCACTATATACAGTACAGAACATCTCTATATACAACACAGAAAGTCTCTATATACAATACAGAACATCTCTATATACAATACAGCACATCTCTATATACAATACAGAACATCTCTATATACAATACAGAACATCTCTATATACAACACAGAACGTCTCTATATACATCACAGAACATCTCTATATACAATACAGAACATCTCTATATACAGTACAAAACGTCTCTATATACAATACAGAACATCTCTATATACAATACAGAACATCTCTATATACAACACAGAAAGTCTCTATATACAATACAGAACATCTCTATATACAATACAGAACATCTCTATATACAACACAGAACGTCTCTATATACAATACAGAACATCTCTATATACAACACAAAACGTCTCTATATACAATACAGAACATCTCTATATACAGTACAGAACATCTCTATATACAGTACAGAACATCTCTATATACAGTACAGAACATCTCTATATACATCACAGAACATCTCTATATACATCACAGAACATCTCTATATACAATACAGAACGTCTCTATATACAACAAAGAAAGTCTCTCTATACAATACAGAACATCTCTATATACAATACAGAACAACTCTATGTACAATACAGAACATCTCTATATACATCACAGAACATCTCTATATACAATACAGAACGTCTCTATATACAACAAAGAAAGTCTCTATATACAATACAGAACAACTGTATATACAATACAGAACATCTCTATATACATTATAGAACATCTCTATATACAATACAGAACGTCTCTATATACAATACAGAACGTCTCTATATACAACAAAGAAAGTATTTATATACAACAAAGAAAGTATCTATATACAATACAGAACATCTCTATATACAATACAGAACAACTCTATATACATCACAGAACATCTCTATATATACTGAAAGGAAAAAGAAACGCAGGGTAAACTTCTGAGGTTGTTTAATATAGTTTCGTCTATTTTTTTCCTAATGATCTTTATAAATCATATTAACACATCTATGCTCAATAATTTGACAGACTTTCAATAATTTTTTTCTGATTAATCATTAGTTATGGAAGCCCATTTAACGGTACCCCCCATAAAGTGAAAATGAAAGACTCAAAACCTTGTATGCCCCCCTCGCGCACCGGTCACAGCCCTGATTCTCTTGTGCATGGAGTTCATAAGGCCATTTATCCTTCGTATGGGGATATTATCCCACTCTTCACGTAAGGCAATCTTTAACTGGTCGAGAGTAACAGGAGAATTGGGGCGCCCTCTTACTCTCCTGTCCAGTTCATCCCACAGATGTTCTATTGGGGACAAATCTGGACTGTATGGGGGCCAGTCAAGTGTTTGGATGTTATTGTTTGCTAAAAAGTCTTGGCACACTCTGGCTACATGAGGTCGGGCGTTATCCTGCTGGAAAATTAAGTTGTGTCGTTGCACAAACGGAACAGCAACCGGGCGGAGAATTTCATCCCTATATCTAACGCCAGTTAAATTTCCAGCTACCACAATCAAGGGTGACCTTACCCCGTGGGAAATCCCACCCCAGACCATTACTGACCCACCCCCAAACCTATCCCTCTCAAGGACGCACGCATCGGCAAAGCGTTCCCCACGACGTCGGTATACACGACGTCGACCGTCCGCTCGAAAAAGAGTAAACCGGGACTCATCTGTGAAAAACACCCGTCTCCATTGCCTCAAGGAAAATTGCCCAGGCCCATGGGCGACCACCCACGCAATACGACGCGCTCGACGTACGGTAAGAGGAATACCAACATAAGGCCGACGAGCTCGCAAACCAAACTCACGCAATCGGTTTCTCTCAGTTTTTGGGTGAATTTGGCGATTATGATTGCCAACTGTATTTCTAGCCGTTTCAGTAGCGGTTACGTGACGATTACGCAAATGGGTGAGACGAATAACTCTGTCCTGACGTCGCGGTCGATCAGCAACCCTCCCAGTCTCTCTCAAATGACGAACAAGACTTTCTTTCGTCGAAAGATTAACCCCAAACTGCAATGCAACCTGTTGTTGCCTTTGACCTTGCATTAGCAGTGCAATGGCCTGACCCCTTTGAACTTCAGTCAACCGCACCATGACTGCAAAACAACAAAATTTACTTCTTATACTGAAAACCGATGTGGATATCTCTGGAGTATCAATTGGTATGAAAAAATGACAAAACGATCGATTAATCAATAATCTGCACGTGATTTTCGCATTTTGGCATTTTGCCTTAGCGGCGCAATAGTTTTCACGGTTGACTGATTTTTGACACCGATCCCGGTGCACAGTGACAAGAAGACCACTCTGACCAATTTTCATAATTTTCGGTTTTGTAGTTAAATAATTATCTAATATTATGCTACCCTGCGTTTCTTTTTCCTCTCAGTATATCTAGAGAACATCTCTATATACATCACAGAACATCTCTATATACAATACAGAACGTCTCTATATACAACAAAGAAAGTCTCTATATACAATACAGAACATCTCTATATACAATACAGAACAACTCTATATACAATACAGAACATCTCTATATACATCACAGAACATCTCTATATATCTAGAGAACATCTCTATATACATCACAGAACATCTCTATATACAATACAGAACGTCTCTATATACAACAAAGAAAGTCTCTATATACAATACAGAACATCTCTATATACAATACAGAACATCTCTATATACAATACAGAACAACTCTGTATACAATACAGAACATCTCTATATACAATACAGAACATCACTATATACAATACATAACATCTCTATATACAATACAGAACATCTCTATATACAATACAGAACATCTCTATATACAATACAGAACATCACTATATACAATACAGAACATCTCTATATACATTACAGAACATCTCTATATACAATACAGAACATCTCTATATACAAAACAGAACAACTCTGTATACAATACAGAACATCTCTATATACAATACAGAACATCTCTATATACAATACAGAACAACTCTGTATACAATACAGAACGTCTCTATATACAATACAGAACATCTCTATATATAATACAGAACATCACTATATACAATACAGAACGTCTCTATATACAATACAGAACATCTCTATATATAATACAGAACATCTCTATTTATAATACAGAAATTCTCTATATACAATACCGAACATCGCTCTATACATCACAGAACATCTCTATATACCTAGAGAACATCTCTATATACATCACAGAACATCTCTATATACAATACAGAACGTCTCTATATACAATACAGAATATCTCTATATATAATACAGACATCTCTATATACAAAACAGAACACCTCTATATACAATACAGAACATCTCTATATACAATACAGAACATCTCTATATACAATACAGAACATCTCTTTATACAACAAAGAACATCTCTATATACATTACAGAACATCTCTATATACAATACAGAACGTTTCTATATACAATACAGAATATCTCTATATACAATACAGAACATCGCTCTATACAACAAAGAACATCTCTATATACAATACAGAACGTTTCTATATACAATACAGAACATCTCTATATACAATACAGAACATCTCTATATACAACAAAGAACATCTCTATATACAATACAGAACATCTCTATATACAATACAGAACATCTCTATATACAATACAGAACATCTCTATATACATCACAGAACATCTCTATATACAATACAGAACATCTCTATATACATCACAGAACATCTCTATATACAATACAGAACATCTCTATATACAATACAGAACATCTCTATATACAACAAAGAACATCTCTATATACAATACAGAACGTTTCTATATAAAATACAGAACATCTCTATATACAATACAGAACATCTCTATATACATTACAGAACATCTTTATATACAATACAGAACGTTTCTATATAAAATACAGAACATCTCTATATACAATACAGAACATCTCTATATACAATACAGAACATCTTTATATACAATACAAAACGTTTCTATATACAATACAGAACAACTCTATATACATCACAGAACATCTCTATATACAATACAAAACGTTTCTATATACAATACAGAACATCTCTTTATTATATACCCATCAATTTCCTTGTTTTTGTTGCTGTTAATTTTACAGAGTTTGATCCGATTTTCCGGATCACCACACTTTGGTTTTCTGAATCCATATCACCACTCTCTGAAACTGATGACGTAGTACGCAAAAACATGACGTTATTTTTCTTGCACGTTAAAAAGTCCCTTGTTATTATGCTTTGTTTTATGGATAAATATTATACAATTGATCTCTAAATTTTTATTTTGCTATATTTAGCTAGTTATAAGGGGGTATATAATAAATCTATCATTATAACAGTAACTTGATCCGAAGAGCTGTATCACGTCTCGTTGACAGGCGCGGATCATCAGATCAAACTCGACGCTTCGCGTCTCGTTAGATCTGATGATCCACGCCTGTCAACTCGACGTGATACAACCCTTCGGATCAAGTTACTATTATAATAATATATATATATACAATACAGACCGTTTCTATATACAATACAGAACGTCTCTATATACAATACAGAACGTCTCTATATACAATACAGAGCGTCTCTTTATACAGAACAGAACATCTCTATATACAATAGAGAACGTCTCTATATACAGTACAGAAAATGTTTCTATATATACAATACAGAACATCTCTATATACAATACAGAACGTTTCTATATACAATACAGAACGTTTCTATATACAATACAGAACATCGCTCTATACATCACAGAATATCTCTATATACCATACAGAACATCTCTATATACATCACAGAACATCGCTATATACAATACAGAACGTCTCTATATACAGTACAGAATGTTTCTATATACAATACAGAACATCTCTATATACATCACAGAAATTCTCTATATACAATACAGAACATCAATCTCTTGACATTCAGTACAGCAATGCAAGAAAAACGTCTCTAAACACTATACATTAATTCTAGAATAGAACATTCATTATTATGTACACAGTACGTTTATTCTAGAATACAACATATACAGCAAAACTCGGTTATAACGAAGTCGCTGGGACCTATGAAATTACTTTGCTTTATCCGTTATTCGCTATAACTGTATGAGAAATTCATTAAAATTATATAGCTGGGGATTAAAGATGACTTCGCTATATCCGTGATTTCGCAATATCCGTGTTCGTACTAAACGAGTTTTGCTGTATTCATACATGTATACTCATTGTATACAAGAGGGATAGTATTGTCATTTTTAATCAATCACAGAAATGATTTTTCTGTTAAAGGTTCGTCCCCGGGAAGTGACTTTGAATGATTTTCTGTCTGCTTTGAAAACGCACAGAAAAACTGTCACACAAGATGAAATTCAAAAGTTTGAAAACTTCACAAAATCAATGGGTGAACAAGGCTGATGTGAAAAAATTACATTCGAATTTCTGATGAACATTCTTCTGTGTGGATTTATTTTAAAGTCTGGAAATAAAAAAAATGGCTCACTGGTTAACATTCTACTGTGTGTACATTTTAAGTCTGGATATTATTTTTTTTATACTCCTCGTTATCAAATGTTTATTGTTTTTGTATTATGACAGGGACAGATGACAACAACAGCTCCTCTTTGTTGTTTAATTGTTCATGGAATACATACATGTATGTTACGTAGGTGCAATTTTTTTTCAGTTTAAAATATTGTCTCTATATATGGTTAGAAAAAGAAAAATTGTTTTAAGAGTTAATTATTTATTTTGCAAAGTTTTTTTACCTAGATTTATTTGTTTTTGTTAAATGGGTTTTAGGAAAAGGTTTATTCCAATGAGGACTTTGATCTCTCTGATGAGGCGATATATAAAAGTCAAAATGAAAGTCCTTCACATTATTTTGTTGTTTACGAAGAATCTCTTGCTTTTTTCATGGGACAGTGGTGGTCGGATGAATGTAACTGTGTCACAGAATCCATGTATAATAAAGACGAATTTTCATATTTGTATCAGGAGGAACATACCGATGACCGTCTTACAAATATACATTTATCAGCATTACCGAGTTCCTGTTAAATTGTCGTTAATTCTGCCACCTTTTTTTCGCTGAATTCAATAAGTTGTCAAAACCAAATTAATTATACAAGCATTAATCCATAAAAAACCAAAACAAAACCGGGCTGAACTTGCGCGCTAATGATCAAGGACACTTCTACAATATAAGGGTTATTCTACAACAAAAAGGCCATTTCAGGGCATGAAACCTACAAAACTGCTTGAAAATAGTTGATTAATTACATAGTTCTGAAATTGACCTTTTTGATTTGGTGTTGGAACAGCAGGAATGAAGTCTGGCATGAAAATGATATCAATTTGTAAATTAATGAATCAGATGTATTCGGACTTTCAAAAGAATTAACCTATGTAGAAGAGAATCAAACTTGTCTCGGGATCATGAAACATCAGTACCTTGACTGAGCTTAAGCGTAAATTTCTGGAAGTTAAGCAGACCAAAATGATTTTTTTTTCGTATTTGCATATAAACAAAAACATATATATCTTTTATCCCGTTTCATTCTTGATACACAAGACACCAAAGAGAAAGCAACGTATTGTATCTTTTTTCGCATCTTTTTTTCTGATAGGAAAACACAAGTCAAAATAGAAGTCCTTCACATTGTTTTGATGTTAAGGGAGCTTGGATTATTTTTCCGTTGATCTTTCTATTTAAGTAACTGGGACAAAAGTGGTGGGCTTTGTGCGACTGTATCATTTCCAGATTCCCATTAGAAAACGCATAACGATGACATTCCTACATCTATCAGCATTACCGAGTTCCTGTTAAATTGTCGTTAATTCTTGCACCTTTTTTCACAGAAAGACGTTGTGTATGTTTACATTTGACAAATCAAATTATCTATACAAGAAACAATACATCAGCCTTAAACCACAAGAAACCAAAATAGAACCGGGTTGGGTGTACTTGCATGCTAAAGACTAAGGTGGAGAACACTTGTATAATAATAATTATTTGTTTCGTTTTCACAGAAAAGATATTTTTGGTTCTAATTTTGTCCAACAAAAATAAAGGCATTGGAACCAAGTTTAGATAACGGCAATCAGAATTTGTCAATAGATTACAAAATGATGTTGGATTGTACATAGATGGCATCTGGTGGGTTGTATCTTTGGTAAATTGCACACGATGTATAATAAATTTTCAGCAAGACTGGTGTCTGAAACAGTCATATAGATGACGAATCCAAAATTGAAATATCCAATTCATTCCGTTCTTGGTTTCAATAATATCATAAAATCCGCATAATGAATTTACAGAATTTATCATTTTATGGTCAGTTCTCCATCTTTTACAAATCATGCTCATTGTGTTGAGTTCATCGACTCAAGCCACGTTCACGTCTGGATTTCACATCAACAACATTCAGTTTAAAGTGACGGACATTACAACCAACAGTTGGTAGTGCCAGTGACCTGTAGCTGGTACTGATGGCTACTAAGTTATGGTAGTCAACAGTTGGTAGTAACGGTAAGTTGTGGTATTGTCATTAACATGTAGCTGTGGCAATCCACTGTTAGTATTTTGTGTATTGACATTTAATTGTGTTAGTCAACAGTTGATAGTGACAGCTAGTTGTGGTAGTCAACACATGGTACTGAAATTGAGCTGTGATAGTCACCTTTTGGAAGTGAGTTAATTGTGATAGTCAACAGTTGATAGTCACAGTTAATTGTGGTAGTCAACAGTTGATACTGACTGTAAGGTGTGGTAGTCAACAGTTGGTAGTGACTAGTGACAGTTAGTTGTGGTAGTCAACAGTTGATGGTGACAGTAAACTGTGGTTGTTGGTAGTGACAGTAAGCTGTGGTAGTCAACAGTAGGTAGTGGCAATAAGCTGTGGTAGTCAACAGTTGGTAGTGACAATAAGTTGTGGTAGTCAACAGTTGGTAGTGGCAATAAGTTGTGGTAGTCAACAGTTGGTAGTGACAATAAGTTGTGGTAGTCAACAGTTGGTAGTGGCAATAAGTTGTAGTAGTCAACAGTTGGTAGTTACAGTTAGTTGTGGTAGTCAACAGTTGGTTGTGGCAATAAGTTGTGGTAGTCAACAGTTGGTAGTGACAATAAGTTGTGGTAGTCAACAGTTGACAGTGACAGTAAGCTGTGGTAGTCAACAGTTGATAGTGACAATAAGTTGTGGTAGTCAACAGTTGGTAGTGGCAATAAGTTGTAGTAATCAACAGTTGGTAGTGACAGTTAGTTGTGGTTGTGAAAAGTTGGTAGTGATAGTAAGCTGTGGTAGTCAACAGTTGGCAGTGACAGTTAGTTCTGAAAGTCATCAGTTGGTAGTGACAGTAAGCTGTGTTAGTCATCAGTTGGTAGTGAAAGTAAAATGTGGTAGTCAACAGTAGGTAGTGACAGTAAGTCGTGGCAGTCAACAGTTAGAAGTGACAGTAAGCTGTGTCAGTCAAGAGTTAGAAGTGACTGTTATCTGTTGTAGTCATCAGTTGGTAGTGACAGTAAGCTGTAGTAGTCAACAGTTGGTAGTGACAATAAGCTGTGGCAGTCAAGAGTTGGTAGTGACAGTAAGCTGTGGTAGCCAACAGCTGGCAATGACAGTAAGCTGTGTTAGTTAACAGTTGGTAATGACAGTAAACTGGGGTAGTTAATAGTTGGTAGTGACAGTTAATTGTGGTTGTCAACAGTTGGAGTGACAGTAGCCTGTGATATTCAACAGTTGGTAGTGACAGTAAGTTGAGGTAGTTAACAGTTGGTAGTTACAGTAAGCTGTGGTAGTCAACAGTTGATAGTGACAGTAAGATGTGGCAGACAACAGTTGGTGGTGACAGTAAGTTGTGGTAGTCAACAGTTGGTGGTGACAGTTTGCTGTGGTAGTCAACAGTTGGTAGTGACAGTAAGCTGTGGTAGTCAACAGAAGATAATGTCACAGTAAGCTGTGGTAGTCAACAGTTGGTAGTGACACAGTAAGTTGTGGTAGTCAACAGTAGGCAGTGACACAGTACACAGCGTAGTCAACAGTTGGTAGTGACAGTAAGCTGAGGTAGTCAACAGTTGGTAGTGACAGTAAGCTGAGGTAGTCAACAGTTGGTATTGACACAGTAAGATTTGGTAGTCAACAGTTGGTATTGACACAGTAAGCTGTGGTAGTCAACAGTAGGCAGTGACACAGTACACAGTGTAGTCAACAGTTGGTAGTGACAGTAAGCTGAGGTAGTCATCAGTTGGTATTGACACAGTAAGATTTGGTAGTCAACAGTTGGTATTGACAGTAAGCTGTGGTATTCAACAGTTGGTAGTGACAATAATTTGTAGTAGTCAAAGATGGTAGTGAAAGTAAGCTGTCATAGTCAACAGTAGTTAGTGAAGATCAGTAACTGTTAGTCAGCAGTTGGTAGTGATGATCAGTTGTGGTAGTCAGCATTTGGAATGACTGTAGGTTGTAGTAGTAAACAGTTGGTAATGACAGTTACTAGTAGTTGTGGTAGTCAACGGTTGGTTGTTACAGTAACCTGTGGTAGTCAATGGTTGTGACAGGACATTTTGGAAGTGAAAAGTTGGCTGTGATGATAGTTAAGAGTTGGTGATGACAGTTCTGGTAGTCAAAGATGGTAGTGAAAGTAAGCTGTGATAGTCAACAATTGGTAGTGATAAAAAGCTTTTGTTGTTAACAGTTGGTTGCAACAATAATATATGATAGTCATATATATATGAACAGTTAGTGACAGATAACTGTGGTTGTCAACAGTTGATAGTGACAGTAAGCTGTAACAGTCAACAGCTGGTAGTGACAATAAGCTGTGGCTGTCAACAGTTGATAGAGACAGTAAACTATGGTAGTCAACAGTTGGTAGTGACAGCTGTGGCTGTCAACATTTGGTAGTGACAGCTGTGGTAGTCAACAGTTGGTAGTGACAGCTGTGGCAGTCAACAGTTGGTAGTGACAATAAGCTGTGGCAGTCAACAGTTGATAGAGACAGTAAGCTATGGTAGTCAACAGTTGGTAGTGACAGCTGTGGTAGTCAACAGTTGGTAGTGACAGCTGTGGAAGTCAACAGTTGGTAGTGACAGTATGCTGTGGTAGTCAACAGTTGGTAGTGACAGTTGTGGTAGTAAAGTTAGTAGTGACAGTAAGCTGTGTTAGTCAACAGTTGATAGTTGTGGTAGTCAACACAGTGACAGCTGTGGTAGTCAACAGTTGGTAGTGACATTTAGCTGTGGTAGTCAACAGTTGGTAGTGACAGCTGTGGAAGTCAACAGTTGGTAGTGACAGTTAGTTGTGGTAGTCAACAGTTAGTAGTGACAGTAAGCTGTGTTAGTCATCAGTTGGTAGTGACAGTTAGTTGTGGTAGTCAACAGTTAGTAGTGACAGTAAGCTGTGTTAGTCATAAGTTGGTCGTGACAGTTAGTTGTGGTAGTCAACAGTTGGCAGTGACAGTTAGCTGTGGTAGTCAACAGTTGGTAGTGACAGTAAGCTGTGGTAGTCAACAGTTGGTTGTGACAGTAAGATGTGGTAGACAACTGTAAGTAATGGAAGCTGTGGCAAATATTGACCTACCGGTATATAAGGCTGTACATAAGCTTATGACCTATCTAACCTGTATATAAGCTATTGATCTATATAAGGCTGGCTTTTCATAATGAACCAAGTAAACAAGTCACAATCTGAGTAAAATATTTTTATTTGCCCCAAATATTTCTTACACGAATTAACCTAACAACATCTCCTTTCTCAAAACAATACAGAAATTGGAATTAAGTACATGGACACTACAGGGTTACAAGAATAAACTTAGCGATACAAAGAAAATCAACAACGCAGATAACAAAGTATAATTGGTTCAAATTTTTCGGTTAAGATTCTGACCACACATTGATTATATGAATTTTTTGTAACATGACATATTCAGTGATATAGTAGATGATAAATCTTTATGTTACACAGTTTCAGGAAAATCTACAGAGCACAGTTTTAAAATTCACAATCCCAAAACTTTTAACAACCTGTTCATGTAATCATTTCTCACTTCTGATTTTGTTGACAGGGAAAACTAGAGTACAAGGGAGAAATGATATACTGCTTTCTCAACACATTTTTTTAACTAAAGGGGAAAAGGCAAACAATATGTCAAAGCATTTGGAATGTTCATAGTATTGGAACTTAATGATATGTTCTGAGAGTTTGGATACAAAAAAATTATTAATATTAGACATTTTAAAAATATTTCATACCAGATCAATGGCATTTCAATGAAATCAATTTAGCACCAAACACATTATTTATGTTAATCACACCAAACCAAAATATTAACCATATGTATTTCTTTATAAAATCCTAAATAAATTGCATTGAATATTCTTTATGTTAGTTTTTACAAATTTACAGTTTAGTTCTGCACTGCAGAAATAAAATTCATACATAACAACCTCATGAAACTCAAATATAATATTATGAGACCCTCAAAAACATTATTACTTAATATAACAATATGGTGCATGAGTGACATTTGAGGATAATTGATACCTTTTTAATGATCTTCACAATTAAAAAAAATATTTTTCCGCAAATCATATACAGTTTTGAAACACAGCTTTTTCTCTCAATTTTTTAATACAATTCTAAGTCATTCGTCAATCTTACTAAAAAAATACATTCAAAAATGTCTTTCCTTTTCTTCACAACAAGTTTTGGAGAATGTGGAAAATGAAATTGAGAGGGTACTGCCATTTACTTCCACAAGAACTAACAACACTCCTGTCGAACTGTTCTAAGAATCAGGTTGGTTTGGTAGATCAGGTAGTTTGCACTGATAAAAACACTCTGGTTCCTAAAACGAAAACAAAATAATTCTTAGATCATTAAATCATATAGAATAGCTCCTGTCTTTGAGTTTGATAAAAATAATCAAAGGGGAAAACAAGTCCTTATTTACAAATACTGTTGTTCACTTTATAAGTGATATAACTGATATTTGTTTAAAACAAATTATTTTTAGTAACATTTATCCTGCAGCCCAATACTGAGATAATGTGGGAGAGAAATGCAAGGTCTTGACTTACTGGTTTGTGTCTCGGAAAAATTCTTTCAACATGTTGCTGAACTTTTTGGAATAGCGAACAAACTCTTTTTTCCTGTCCTCAAGAATCTGAAACATTAAAATGATAAACTTGAAATGAAATGATAATAGACTTTCTTCCATTAAGAGGAATATTAATGGATGAAAAGTTAGCCATTTTAAGATACTGGTATTTTAAAAATAGGTTCAAAGGTTCAAGATAATATTGTTAAATCATAACACTTTACATATAACGATGTAAATAGGATATCATGGGTGGTTTTACTCATCTGATATATGCATAATCAGCGGAACCCCCCTTTCACATATATAACTAGTTTTACTATACTTTCTTCTAAAACATTGTGTCCATAGGTTGGTTAAAAGAATTGAAATTGATTAGAACATCAATACTTCTATTCAGAATTTATATTAATACCCTGTCACAAAATAAAAGGTCCTTAACATGTTTTAATCTACCATTTTTAAAAATAAACCTTGATATTAATTTCACAGAGGTTCTGCATAATAGAGCATTTTTAAGGGACGTTGAATAAGGATATACACATGTAAAAATAGGTTAAAGTTGTTCAATGAAGCTTGAGTGTTACTTCAAGATTGTATCCAATACTGATTTAAAATCTTTGAGCCACAGGTATATGTGTGGAGAGAAATCTATATATTGTACAGTAATTATAAAGTTCAGTCAATGAAAAAATATCTGTTTTCATAAAATTAAATTCTAAATATCTATTATGATAAACTCATTCAAGATGTATAGTTATCTTAGCCAGCAGAAAAAAAACTTTCCTGGCAATACGCAGACATGAATAGAGAATTCACTTACAGAGTATACTAGAAGAAAAGTCAAGAGGCTTCATTTACTCCTTTACAGAGTTAATAGGGCTCATTAAACATGCAGAGTACATGTATTTTTAAACAATGTAAAGCATAAAATGCAATTTTTTATGCAATTGATATACTGACGATTATATGTATCGAAGCTAAATTTACATATTTCAATGCATATATGACTTGATGTAAAACAATTATGATTCAATCTGATTTACTATTACACTTATTCGTGTAAAAAAATTATTTATCATTAATTACTGGAATCCATAAAATACAGATGGCACACACAGTACATCCCTTATCCTTTGACATGTTTCATAATATTTCCCATTTTCATGCACTTTGAAATTTGCTTCCCAAAACCATACGTATATATGAAATGCATAATTATGTTTGTTCTTTTAACAGTGTGAATAGCATAACATTTTCATCAACTTACAAGAAGCAAAATCACAACGTACCACCTGACTTAACCTTTAAAATATTTAATGTATAAAATTATGTATGCCTTGTGAGACCAGATGCCTAAGATCAGAATATATCTGAAAAATTATTTGGGGAACTCTCATCTTTCTCATTATCCCTAGAATACTGTAATATATACTTATGGTGTGTACAGATAAACATCACATTGACTTCTTTATGATGTATCAGTAAAGTAACATTTTATGGACAGAGTTTGATTCAAACTAATATAAAATCTTTATTAATTAATTAAATATTTTCACTAAAATTTTATATACTATTACCTCTATTCATTTTAACTATCATTCAGATTTATATGTATCCAATACTTAACAAACTTTTGAAATTCATTTTGATATGAGGATACACAAGATTTATGCAAAAAAAAAAAAAAGAATTTAGAAATCTCATTTGACATTTGAAGTTTGAACAAAGTTTAAATAATTTTAAACTACAATGGAAAACAATACAGTAAGTTGTATTTGTAAGATTTTTATATCTTTGACTGAAATTTTCAGGAAAAAATTAAAATAGAGATATCAGTACATCAAATTTTGTTGATATCATTTCATTTTTAAAGATTTTATTACAAGTGGAACATTACTTTTGGATTAACTCTCATAACATTTTCCTCAGGCTACTTCACTAACTTAAGATGTGTTGAGTAAAAGTTTTCCGGTTTTAGGATTTACGTTTTTACATGAAAGAAATAATAACAAAGCAGCGTATAGTTCTGATCACATGAAGATATAAATAGTGCTAAGACTGACAGAGGGAGGTGCATCGGATAATGGAAGAGCAACTTACCAGAAGTTTCTGTTGTGAGTACAACAACCAAGTCAGTGGGGGGTAAGATCAATGTTAACAACAGCTTTATCTTATCCATGTTAATCAAGCAGTTTAAATCAAAATAAGTAAATAGAGATGGTGCATTAAATAAATAAATACATCAATCAAGACTAGGATTTTTAAAAAAATGTATTTTTAATAAAAAGATGCCATTCAAATGTTAGCAGTAGTATACGTGTACTGAATAAAACCCCAGAATCACACACAGCTAAGATCCGCCCTGGCCGATCACTCACCTGTTTACTGCCATTGTCTGCGGCAGGAACCTCCGCTATCACTCGGTTCACAGCGTCCAGCAGGCGCTTTATAGCACTGGCTATTTCTCTACAGATTAAAACATTTTAATGACTTTAATAAAGGACTTGTGTTGTATACGCAGTGTTACTTTAAAGTCTCCCAATGATGCAGGTACATCTTCATTTCATAACATGAAGTCCCTTATATTTAACTATTTGAGTAATTCTTTTTCAGTGAAAAGGGAATTTAAAATACTAATGTACATGTATAATGTAAAAGTAGATGTGCAATGAAATATATTTACTGTAAAAATGGTTGCAGAAATTAATTCCTTGAACTGAATTTTAGTTTGTGAAAGTACTAGTAAAAGAATCATGCCAGAATTTCATAGTTTTTTCAAATTGTCAAATACAAGACATTTCAAATCAATCTTTAAATTATATCTCTCTGAAACACACTAATAATGTGTGTGTGATAAGGAATTCTATAAAACCTTCTGATGTCTTATAAAATGTGTCCAACGTGTCCCTGCTTTATTAAACTTAATGAACATTTAAATATGTTTTACAAGTTGTCAATATCTTTACTTGATTGTCTCTAAAAACTGTTTCCTGTCATAAATCTGCTCTGGAATTCTGCTGAGGATCTTCTTTAGAGCCATGGCGCACTTGTTTAGTTCCTGGAATGTGGGCTCTTGTCTGGAAATGCGTAATTCTGAAAAATAAATGATAAAGTATTATACTATAATAGGAATGAGAATTATTAGAATGTTATAAAATCATTTTAGTCACCAAATTACTGTGAATATATTTAATTACCGGTAACATTGCAGCCTAATTCACCTACATGTACAATCCTGAGAACTACATAACATTCTCTCTAACCCACCTTGAAATTCCATAGATCAATCTTACCTTCTCTGCAATAGACCCTTCGCAATAACTGCGATACTGCTCTTTTACAGGGCAAAATGACATAGTTTGGTGAAATATGATTTAAAAGTAAAATTGTTGAATATACGTCATTTAATTATCTATCAACAAAAACTCCACCAAACATTATTTTACCCTGCAGAAGAGCAGCACTGCAGTAACCGTGAAGGGGCTAATAACTATTGTTGCGAAATTGGACCAAACGTACTACTGATTGAATTGGAAGCATACAATATATTATATGATCATTAATTTGAACTTCTATTTAAAGGCGAATATTTGTAAAATTAACCATGAAATATTCAGATATCAATGTAATTAAAAACAATTCTGATAATGTTAAAAGATAAACCAAATTATGTTAAAATTTTTCTTTTTTAATAAAAAGAATTTCAGTTAAAAAATTTTCTTTTGTTGCCGACGTGCTGCCTTCAGTGATGATTTTTCAATATGTTGGCCACTATCATAACAACACTAGTACAATGTAATAATAACCCACCCTCACAATCCTGAGATCCACCTAGCCTTAACAAAGTCTCACAAAGGTCAAACTTGTCGTGAATTTCTGCCTTTTTGAGGACTCCCTTCACATAGTCATACGCAAATCCTGGTAGTGTGTTATCAACCTGAAACAAGCAGGAGTCAAATAAACAGAAGTGTATCATACACTGACCATTCCTACTACAGTAAAACTCGTTTATTTACGAACACGGATATTGCGAATTCACGGATATAGCGAAGTCATCTTGGATCCCCAGCTATATGAATTTAATGAATTTCGTAAAAGGTTATAGCCAATTACGGATATAGCTAAGTAATTTCATGGATCCCAGTGACTTCGATATAACCGAGTTTTGTTGTATATGTATATGTGTGCCACTTTAGTTGTAAATCAAACAGAAACCTAGCTGCTGTAATTTTTTTCTCCTCTATCAATTATCTTTTTTTTTCTCTTTTTCGAAATAATAGTTGGAGATTGAATTTTTTGTATTTAGGAATTGGTATGTATGTATAAAAATAGTGTTTAAATACTTTCGAAATTTTTTTATATTTAATTAATTAAGTATACAGTAGAACAACTTATAAAGAAGTGCCAGGAATGGACAATTTTGGTTTTGTTAAAAAACAAAATTTAACTGTCAAGTTCACAATATACATTCTAAAGGTTAAAGCCAAGGGGAATAAAAATCACTTCTTTGTAAATATTAATTTGTTAATTATAAATATGTTTGATATAAGCATATTTTACAGTAAATGTATCAAGAAAATGTTTACATACTTTAGTAAAAGCTGCTCTCAGTGTTTGTGCTGCAGAAACATCTTTCTTTTCAAGCTATATATAAAAGTATTCAAATTGAAGTTAAAATGGAAATACCCGTAACTATAGAACAGCAAGTACACTTTTACTTTAACTCTTAGACTAGATATCTATACTTGGGAGTGATTCCAATTTGCCGAAAAATATTATAAACACATAAGATTTTTGTGTAAAAAAAGTATCTTTACGGATTTACGATAAAATAACTGCAATAAAACATTCCTCATGTATTCATCAAGACATTATCTACTTTACAAGTAAAACCCCTACCCTCTCCAGTACTGGCCCTAAAACAACATCCACAATCATTTTGGCATAAAGATTCTTATTACTATCCCCCATTGTCATGGTTTGTAGATCTCCAGTTGAATAAAGGTACCAAGAGTCCTTGTGTCACATCTGGGGATAGATCAACTGTAAAACACAAGAAAAATACATTTAAGATTTTAAAAAAAATAATAAACATGATGAACATTGATCAATCTCACAGATCATATAAACAATTTACAAAACATAAGAGGATCATTAATTCATAAATAACATATTGTAGTGGTCCTGGAAATGCTAGGCATGAATTGCCCAGCCACCTCACAAAGTACACAGACCACACACTGGCCAGTGGGTGTAACATATTCAGCTTCCAACTTACTTTTTCTGTTAAGCTGAACAGAAGTGTTTCTCTAAGCTCCGTTATTGTTTACTATTGTTAAGTATATTGTTATTGCAGGCTCTTATAGACCTGATAAATTGTGGATTAAATTGCTTCATCATAATGTTTTTCCATTTCTAATTATATACCATCGTCGCATTTTACAGTACTTATTTAATATAAAGAGAAACACTATATTGGTGCTGTGTGCAGGGTCAATATAACGTTTCTTTAAATCACCTTTTATTAAATTTCAGATTGTTTCATCAAAGAGTTTTTCAATTTCCGCAATCACCACTTTTCATTATTAGTAAAACATAGAGAACCCCTATAAAACATAATATTATGTAACATTGAACAATTTCATAAAATTTTGGATAAATACAAAATAAGATAAATCTCCTCATGAGATTTTTTCTTAATTGACAACTTTTATGAAGAACATGGAAACACCTGGTTTTAAAAGAACATTCTTGACCCATGCAATCCATACACATTAGGTCTAAAGCAAACAGTACTAATAAGAACCATATATCATTGAGCATACATAAAACTGACTTTCAAACAGTTTGCTATTAGCCATGATTTTGAAATATCCCTTTAGTTTAACCCATGCAGATTTTGTTCAACTACCTTAAAGTTTAATCAAACCAGACATATAAAACCAATCTGATCAAACCTAGTACTCGTTGCGTACAACAATTAAGTTGAAAAATTTGAAGAAAACGTCATACTTTTTTTACGAAAACAATGTTGAATAAATTTAAGCTAATCAAATCATCCTCTTTTTATCCAAGTGTAAATTTTAATGACCACACCTACCAAAGTAGTTCTACCTCAACTCTCAAGATCAAAGGAAAGCAGACCCTCCTTGAACACACCTCGTATCTGCTTTCTTTAACAAAGCAAGCGACCAACTTCCATTGGTTAAAGTGAAAGGTTAAACAGTAATACGCAAATGTACGTTTACTTCCATATGCTAACTGGAAAACCCCGAATATTGGGTAAAATAAAATACCTGTCAACAAATATTTAGATCCTCGTTTGTTTTTTAAACCTCCGATTTTAAAAGAGTTCCGAATATGTTTACTGAATTACGCCCCTTTCCTCGCACACAGGACTTCGAGGACGGTTACACTTTTTTCCTCTCAGATTGGAAATTAAGATGTTTCTTCGAAATTATGTCAGTTTCATTTATCTTATAAATAGTTTTTAAATAATCTATAAAATAAAGTACATGTACTATACATGCTATATGGGTTACAATTAATAGTGTATAAGTTAAAAAAAAAAATACGAACCAAAGAATCTTACATTAATCTATTTATTTAGGTACTTTAATCAAGTATTTATTTAGAATAGCAAATTAAAGATCGATCGACTAACCATATATTGACAAAACTTCATAATATAACCTTTTTAGCTCACCTGAGCCGAAGGCTAAAACTTATGTGGAAGCATCCTGGGGTAGTGCAGATTCTAAATTGTTCAAATCATGACCCCCGGGGGTAGGACGGGGCCACAATGGGGAATCAAAGTTTTACATAGAAATATATAGGAAAAATCTTTGAAAATCTTCTTCTCAAGAACCACTGGGCCAGAAAAGCTGAAAATTTTGTGTACATGGAAGCATTCTGGGGAGTACAGATTTCAAAATGTCTAAATTATGATCAGCGGGGTAGGGTGGGGTTGGAATATGTATTAGAAGGGGGAAATCTGGTAAAGAACAAAATGGTCAAAGCTTCTCAGGTGAGCGATGTGGCCCATGGGCCTCTTGTTATTTATTAAAATTCAAAATAATTTAACCTCCTATTCCATTTCCAACCCCCCCCCCCTTTTCCATAGCTCGACTCGACGCACTCTCTAAATGGAAGATGGCATGATTGGGGAGCGACAATCCTTCAAGACTCTTTTAAAAAGATTTTTCCAATGTATTCCTATTTTAAACATTGATACCCCACTGTGGCGCCACCCTACCCCCAGGGTTCATGATTTGAACAAACTCGAATCTACACTACGTTGGGAGGCTTCCACACGAGTTTCAGCTTTCCTGGCCCAGTGGTTCTTGAGAAGAAGATTTTCAAAAGATCAGACGAGCTTTTGATCAGATGAGATAAAAAGCAGGTATAGAGACCTTTTTTGTCGCAGTATCGTCAGATTAGAATAATACGATGTATCCATTAAATGAAAAAAAAGTTGGAAACTTCCTGCATCCATTCCAAGAAATGGAATTTGGATTATCACCTTTGGATATCCTACTTTTTAGCTCACCTGAGCCGAAGGCTTAAGTGAGCTTTTCTGATCAAAATCTGTCCGTCGTCTGTCGTCGTTGTCGTCGTAAACTTTTCACATTTTCATCTTCTTCTCAAGAACCGCTGGGCCAATTTCAACCAAACTTGCTACAAAGCATCCTTGGGTAAATGGGATTCAAGTTTGTTCAAATGAAGGGCCACGCCCTTTTCCAAGGGGAGATAATTATGAATTAGAGAAAAATTAATGGCCGATCAAAGTTTTACATAGGAATATATAGGGAAAAATCTTTAAAAATATTCTTTCAAGAACCACTGGGCCAGGAAAGATGAAACTCATGTGGAATCATCCCCAGGTAGTGTAGATTCAAGTTTGATCAAATCATGACCCCCGGGGGTAGGGTGGGGCCAAATGGCCGATACAAGTTTTATATAGGAATATATAGGGAAACCTTTTAAAATCTTCTTTTTAAGTACTTCAAAGCCATGCTTAGTGATATTTATAGGGAATCATCCTCAGGTAGTGTAGATTCTAGTTTGTTCAAATCATGACCCCCTGAAGGGTTAAAATTCAAGCCCCCTCCCCCAACCCAACCTCAGTAACCTTTCAGTTCTGATCTGATGCGTGCTTTTTCCTGGCCAATTGCTCAGGTGAGCGATGTGGCCCCCGAACCTCTTGTTTTGCTTGAAAAAAATTTTCAGATCCCCCAAACATACAGTTCTATATGATATTTTTCTAACCTTCAAAGCAAAGATCGGATCCACACGAAATATTCTCGTCAATGTCTCATAGGAATTAAAAGTTTGTTTTGATCCATGCGTTAATTTCAAAAGATAAAAACAAATTCAGTAGCAGTTGTAATTTCTAAACAGTTCAACAGAAAGGGGTGTATCTAATATTAGTTCGGATTATTCTAAAGACACAACCAAGATATTTTACCATAATTTTAATATATCATGTTCCTTTAATTTGTCATGTGGTATTTTTTGAAAGATATATTGATACATGTACATGTATATATGGTATTAACGCCACTTCCCTGGAAGATAAGAATTGATGTATTTAAGAGTCAAATGATCACCCCCTCATAGGTACTTAGGTATATCTGCATTCAACTTCGAAAGAGAATGAAATTCTTATGGTTTATAATTATAACATTTCTTAAAGAAAAAGGGAGATTTCAAGAAATATCATATTATGATATAATGCCAATTAAAAAAGACTTCCGACAATTTGTGACAAAAATAGCATGGTTAGAAACTAGAAACGGTTTATTTTGTTACCTTTTTGCGGAGTACTACAAGCACATTTCTCTTCATAAAAAGTTAAATACATTTTGTTTTCAGAAAACCCGAGTAAATTGGGCAACAGATAAAACCTACAAACATAAGACCTCTCTATAAACAAAAGAAGCTAAGGCATGCACACACAAATAATCTGAACAAAACCAAAGGCCAACAGTTACATTCAAGTTTTCGAATTAGAAAAAAATCAGTTTCAAAACTTTTCCGATAAAATATACAAAAAATTCTTTGCAGTGGTTAGAACTTTTGCTCTACAATCGCGGATTTGGAGTTGATCTTTACACCGCGGATTCGTATCCCACGGTGAAACATGGAAACCATTCCTTTGGATGAGACCGTATAAACCTCGTGTCGCAGTATCTGCTGGCATGAAATTTATCCTTCACTGCATAATTTCGTTAGTGTCGAGTAGAGGTTTTTTTGCAGACATCAACCGGTAAGTGGTGGCGTCTTGATATGAGTTAAAATAGCTCCAGAGGAAGTTAAAAAACAAACAAAACGATGTAGGGTAATATTTCTTTATATTTACTTGTAATAAATAATTCAGCACATCGCAGTCAAACAAAGATGTAAAAATGTGCAATTCAAACAAAACAATGTATAAAAACATTCATTTGTACACATTTTCTTACATTTCAACTGGACAAACTGTGATAGAATTGACGTATTTTCATAATTGTCAATATATGTCTGTTTATCACATCATGATTCAAAAGTTATCTACACAAAAGCGCTCTTTATAAACTTTAAAAAATCAAAATTCATAAGAAGGTCACAGATACTTTGAACTCTTTCGTTATCTGCCCGACAACATTGTAGAGGTAAATATTTGTTGTAATATTTGTGGTAAGTTTGTGGTGTCCAGACAGATGAAGGCGTGGCCTGTCGGAAGTTGTCTGATCAGCTGACTCGCCTGATCCTCCAGGGAACCAATAAACACCACATACGCATTTACTTTCTCGTTCTTCTTCAAAATTTCCCCAAACTTTCTGGGAGAAATTCCGTATCTGTCAAAATTGGCGTCGCTAAGAATGATCAGGAAATGTTCGTCTGCTTCTTCTTGTGCCAGTTCGTCTGAAGCATGTTTTGTGGCCATTAGCGTCGTATCACCGCTCATGCAGAACTGGGAGTGCGCGTGCATGGTCTTAAGGACAATGAGGCGCTCTTTGTTATTGGTGGGTACCTTCTCCTTGTCTACCAGGACTACCTTATGATCCTCGCCAGAATGCCCGTAGATATCATACTTAAACTTGTCTTCATACTTTTCCAAAGCTTCCATCATCATCAGAGTGGCTTCCATTTCGCGGTTAAGTCGTCCGTCGTATCCATTAAAGCGGTACATACTTCCCGAGACATCGACCAACAAGCGGATCCTCTTAGGTTTCTCCTGGGGTGTTCCTAACTCAGGGTCTTTTTCACCTCTTCGTTTGTAAATAGATTTCTCGCCTGTAATGCCCTCGATCAGTTTTGAATCATCTAAGTCGCCATATGCTTGGTTTTTCAGCCATTGTCTTTCCTTTCCTTTCGCCTGAAGACTGTCAAGAATAACCCGTAGTGATGATACCTGATTTCTAACATTCTTAGAGAATCCTTCATACACATCAGCGTCGTATTCACTCATGTTTATTTCTCGAAGCCTCTCTTTGAATGCCTTTCGTGCCATATCTCGCGCAGCTTCTCTCACGTGATCTGGCACGGAGTCTTTTTCATGCTGAGGAACCTGGTAAACTTTGTGACCTGCGTCCAATCGATATGGCCCACCAATTCCACCTAGACCTGTTATGAGAAACAAATGCCTGTAACACTTAGCAATCCTAAATATTAAAAAATCATGCATTACCGGTATACTTTTTCACATAATTACCTGCGGTATTACTACCACCAGTACCACCTGCCCACGTGTTTCCACCATGATGAGGTGCATTTTTAGGGTCAATTTTCCCGTGCTTTGGACCGTCTGCTTTCCGACCACTTTCTCGCTCTTTGGTTATCTGAGAATTGAAGTTCATATACAATATCGCATTAACATAAGTTTACAGAAACCTAAATTATACTCAGAGTTAACTAAATTACTCAGCAGTTTAATACCTGAAGCTGTTTTCCATCGTCAAATCCCATCATGTTCTTCCATTCCCTCAACGACCGCTCCAGATTTACCAGCGCCGTCTCCCAAGTTCGGATGCATCCACCAACATCCACCGTTACCAAGCCGTCCTCGCTCATAGGCGCAACAAATAACTTCGAGTCAGCAATGGGGGACATCCAAGACAGGTATGGTGACTGGCGGGTGGCAGGGGGGACTGGAATATAACGTAAGACGTGGTGCACTGGGTCTATCACCTCCAGATACCCGCTCACATCTCGAGATCTCT